CAGGTGGCTGAAATTACCCGTGGGAGATGCATTGCACATAGTAGGTGAGCAATCCATAGAGGATACCTCCTTGCCTGCCCCATCCCCACCCCTCCAACCCACCCCCCAGCAGGATGAAAGGAATTGGGCTTTATTGTTATTTTTTTATTTGCCCTTTCACCTGAATTCTTCTCATTTTATTGAGTTTTAGACATTAGATTCACCCTTTTCTCCCACCCCACCCTCGCAGTGCACAAGGCAGATAAGAGGAAGGAGAGAGAGAGAGAGAGAGAGAGAGAGCTAATTAGCATTTTAATTAAAAGAAAAGGGGCTGAGAGAGGTGGGTGGACTTCACTATCTGACTAGACCAGAGTTTGCAACTAGTCCTGCTGGAAACCTACAATACAAAGCGGGATTCACTGCAGGTGCACTGCACGGCTGGAACAAAAAGTACTCTCGTTTGTCTGTACTTTGATGGTTCCTTTCTGTCTAATGCGTTGGTTGAGTTCGGTCCCCCTTTCGGTTCTGATCACATGAAAGCTGTGTTCTGCACACGGTGCCAGCATGCCTTGCCTCTGCCCATCCCTGCTCAGCTCTCATCGCAGCAGCAGAGGTCAGGTCTGGGACCCAGCCTCCAGTCGTCAGCTCTGCCCAGCTTTCTTCTTCTTATTATTATTATTTTAATTTCTTTCTTTGTTTTTATTAGGAAGGCAGATTTACAGAGAGAAAGAGAGAGAGATCTCCCCTTCTTTCCACAGGTGCAAATTCAAGCTCTAGCAATGTGTAAAGGGCAGGATGGGAAGAAGTGGGGAGGTATGAATGTCACACCTGGGTGGGAGTGGAGGCCGAGGGAGTGCTGTCCCAGCGGGCTGTGGGCCTTCCCACAGCTTTTGGCAGGTGGCTGTCAGAGTTGGAGAAGCCTGAGGGGTGTGTGTGTGTGTGTGTGTGTTTGGTTTCTGAGATAAGCAAGGGCAGAGGTGAAGCTACCCAAGGCCGCATGATGGTGGTATTATCACTTCCTCACGAATCCTTCTCTGGCCTTTTCTATCCCCTATTGTAAACATTTGTTTTGGAAAGGTAGAATTAAAGGGAGGGAGGGAGAGACAGAAAAATAACTCCTCCATCACTGGTTCACTCCCCAAAATGACCACAGTGGCTGTGCTTGTGCCATGCTGAAATCAGAAACCTGGAATTCCAGTCCAGACCTCCTTCCCATGTGGGACCTCCTTCCAGGGACAACAGTACTGGAACCATCTTCTGTTACTTTCCCAAGTACTTCAGCAGGAAACTGGATTAGTGGGGCAGCCAGTATGCTGGCACTGCAGATGGTGGCTTAAGTGGCTGCACCACAACTCCAGTCCCTCTGTCTTCCCTAGTATTAAAGTGGAGGGTGAACTTCATAGTTCTTTTTTTATTATTGTTTTCATTAAGGTAGGCATAACAGAGCTAACCAGCTTAGGTAGCCAGTTAAATGCTGTTTAGTCCACTCAGCATGTTGCACAGCCTTAACATTCTGTGGTTACAGAAGTTTTACATTTCCTGAAACAAGACCCCTGAAGCCCAGCAAGTGGCCACTCCCTAGTCCCCCAGCCTCCCAGCCCCTAACAACTGCTGCCGAGCACTCTCTCTGTGGACTGGCCCATTTTTGCAGTGTCCCGTGAACGGCCTCCTCCACTTAGCGTGGTGTTTTCCGGGTTCATCTGCGTTGCAGTGTACACAGGAGTACTTCATGTTTGCGGCTGGATGACACCCCTTTGTCCAGATCCGTTATCCCATGAACGGACATTTGGGATGTTGCCAAGCCAAGTCAGCTCTTGTGGACAGTGCCGCTGTGAATGTGCACGTGGGAGTCCCTGTTTACAGTGTACTGGGAGTGGGCGCCTAGGAGCTGAATGACTGAGTCATGTGGTCATGCAGTTTAACTGAGCAGCCCATCATTTCAAAGGCCACGCCAGCTCTGAGACTGGGGGCTGAGGAGCTGGCCCTTAGTTTCTTCATCTTCATCAACTCCCACTCTAGTCAGTGTCCTTGCAGGTCCACTCCCCAGCTCACGGGAGCCCCAGGGTCTCATGGACGGGCCCACGGCCTCTCCCTGGGAGCCAGGCTGAGCACAAACCCTTCCGGTTAAGACTACGCTAGAGCAGCTGGGCTCTCTCCTCCAGTATCTTTCCAGGTCTTTTCTTTTTGAGATATATCCATTTACTTGCATCTACTTCAAAGGCTGAATGACACACAGAGAGAGCTCTCCCATCCCCAGCCCACTCTCCAAATGTCTGCAGACGCCTGGACTGGGCCGGGCCAAGGATGGAGTGGAAGCTGAGGGTCAGAGATGCCAACCGGCACTCTGACGGGCTGCACATGTCCCAGGCAGTGGCCGCGCCACAAGGCCCACCCACAGCCAGCTTATCTAAAGTACTGACAGCTTGGGTAAAGCAGCCCAGTACATTAACTGCTTTCATTTCTGCCTCTACCCTCTTCTGCTGCTGAATTCTGTGATTCAGAAAGAGAACAGTCTTTTATTCATGATTTTTTTTCCAGCTCCCAAAATACACAGTGGTTTGCCTTTCAGATGTGTTGATTTAATTAGAGGTGAGCGAGAGAGAAGAAATAACATTAAATTTGAAATGGATTGTGTGAGAATCAATAATAGTGTCTGATGTCACCTTTTGTTATGATATCAATTCCAACCTGCAGGGCCCCCAAAATGCCATTGGGGTATGTATTTCCAGTGTGACATTTCATCATTGAAAGTGTGTGGGTGTGGCCCTCACTTCTGTGGGGTATTCAAATGTTAATGTTCCGGATCCCTGGGATTCTATGGAAGTTGAGTGGTACTGAGTTTCTTGCTTCTGTGTGAGACAGGTTACTTTGAGGGTAGCATTCTCTGCAGAGTTGACTGTGTTTCTAAATTAACAGGCTTGGGAATGCTAGCTGACAGCGAAAATGCCCAGAGCAGCTGTTCAGCCTCCAGCTAAGCTGCCCCACGTCCCAAACCGAACTCTCCTCTGGACTTTGACTCCAGCGTCCACACCAGACTCCCTTCTGGACTCATGAGTCGGGAGGCAGTGGGATGGCTCAGATTGAGTGCCTGTTACATGGGAGACCTGGGTTGTGTTCCTGGCTGTGGCTAGGACTCACTGTAGCTGTGTGGGCATTTGGGAAGTGAACAAACAAAAAGGGATTTCTCTCTCCCTCATAAATTAAATGTGTGTGTGTGTATTCAAACCTCAATTGATTTTTCAAGAATGTTCCTCAGTGTGTCCCCAGGATGTCTTGCCAAGCCTCACTCCACAAGCTGGGCCATGGCAGGTTGACTGCTCCTGGGATGGGGTCCCCTGCCACCAGGGAGAGACACAGCTGCAGGAATTTCTGGCTGCGAGGCCCTTGTCCCCAGTTCACCTGCAGGCTGCACATTGCTTACAGCACTGAATGTTAAGAGGTATTCTCATTTCCGACATGCCCCCACTGGGGACTGATGGGGAGACACTCCAACCGTGGGAGCTGATCTGCCCAACGCTCTAACTGTGGTATTAGCTGAAACTCCGTTTGCAAGCAGCAGAGACCAGGTGGTGGTGACACGAGCAAATAGAATGGACGGGTGCCGAGGCGGAGCATTTTCCCCTGCTCGTCATGTTTCCTTCCATGGAGAGGGACATCCATGAGCCCCATACTGCTGGCTCTGCCCATCCCCTCGTGTCCCAGGGGAAGGATACTAGCTCCAACCCCAGCAGACTGAGTAGCACTTGCATTTCTGTGGTCAACCTAGGTCCCCAGCTTGAAGTCCCCGGGGTAGAGAGTGACCATCCCAGGATGTTCCAGCCTCTCCTGGCTTCAAAATGGCAAGTCCTGTAAGCTGCAGACCCCACACACCCAGGCCTGAGCAAACTGTGATGGTTGTACCAGGGCATGTGCCCACAGCCCTAAATGGGCCACCAGGTTCTCCACTGATACCCAGGACTCCTGGGCAGCCAGACCTTTGTAGGAACAGGGCAGAGGGAATCCTGGCTTCCCACACTGAGTAGCCCCGTGATATTTGCTCTGAATTTCCAGTCTCAGGAATCAGGTAGGGCTTAGGGATCAGATAGTCTTTTTCAGTATTTCTTTTCTTTTAAGATTTATTATTTTTATTGGAAAGGCAGATTTACAGAGAAAAAAAAGAAAGGCACAGAGAAAGAGAGAGAAAGAGAGAGAGAGAGAGAGAGAGAGAGAGAGAGAGAGATCCGCTGGCTCACTCCCTAAATGACAACAGCTAGAGCTGGGAGCCAGGCGCTTCTTCCAGGTCTCCCATATGGGTGCAGGGGCCCAGGCACTTGGGCCATCTTCTGCTGTTATTCTAGGCACATTTGCAGGGAGCTAGTTCGAAAGAGGAACAGCTGGGTCTTGAATGGTGTCCAATGGAGAGGCTTTGCCTGCTAGTTAGGCCACGGCGCTGGTCAGTCTTTTTTTTTTTTTTAAGATTTATTTATTTTTTATTACAAAGTCAGATACACAGAGAGGAAGATCTTCTGTCCAATGATTCACTCCCCAAGCAGCCTCAATGGCCGGAGCTGCACCGATCTGAAGCCAGTAGCCAGGAACCTCTTCCGGGTCTCCCAATCAGGTGTAGGGTCCCAAGGCTTTGGGCCGTCCTCGACTGCTTTCCCAGACCACAAGCAGGGAGCTGGATGGGAGGTGGAGCTGCTGGGATTAGAACCGGCGACTATATGGGATCCTGGTGCGTTCAAGGCCAGGACTTTAGCTGCTAGGCTACAGTGCTGGGGTCCCGCTGGTCAGTCTTTTACAGAAGGGTCTTAATCAACCCTGCCCTGTCTAGTAGTGGGCATGGTGCTATTGCCTGTGGTATGATCAAAGCCAAATGGAACTTTCCTGTGGATGAAAGTCAGGCTCAGGAGGATCCTTGGTTCAAGTGCGCTTGTGCTGAGGTGTCAGCGGACTCTCTTCTCTGGTGGGAAAGGACATGGGGCCAGCAGGAGAGTGGGCTTCCTGGGCCTGAGTCTGCCTGTCTGGTTTCTTGCAGGGCGGCAGCAATTGAAAGAGGTCTCTGTTCCTGAAGGAGGGGCCATGGCCTCCATGTTGCTCACCCGGCGGCTAGCCTGCAGCTTCCAGCACAGCCACCACCTGCTCATGCCAGGTAAGCCCCAGGGCCACAGCCAGGCCTGGGTCCGCTAGAGTCACAGCTGACAGGGCCCCTGAGCTGGATGAGTTCTTGATGTTAAAGGGGCGGACCAGCCAGTGCTTGGAGACTGTCCTACCATCCCCCTTGTAACTGTCACCATCACCATTCCCTGCTGGTTCCCAACCACGTGCACCTGTGCCCCCAGGGACAGCTCTGCAGGGGAACGAACCTCTAGAACCCCTTTACCTGCGCAGGTGGGCTGCCCGGTGGTAGGGAAAGCCACAGCTGGCTTTCTGCCAGTGCCCAGGTCTCTGTTCAGACAGTTCCCTGCTGACAAAGGCTCGACTGGTGGTCTTCGCCTTTACCATGATGTGAAAGAAACTTGCGTTGGGTAAAACTGTGCTCCCCTTTACGCTCGATCTTAGCCAAAAGGCCGAGAAGTGACGGTCTTTGCTGGCGGTGTGTGGCCTGATCCTCCTTTCTGATCTGGGCTGGTGGCCGTGAGTCACCGCTCCGCGTCAGCCATGTGATCCCAGAGAAACAGCTGATGACTGTGTCCTCCAGTGTGCCCCCGGTTTCCCACAGCAAAGAGTTAACTGTTACAAACTGGGCAAACTGGGCTCTGAGGTGGGTGATTCTACAGGTGAATGCAAATGCTCTCAACACTTTTTTTTTTTAAGATTTATTTATTTTCATTATGAAGTCAGATATACAGAGAGGAGGACAGAGAGGAAAATCTTCCATCTGCTGATTCACTTCCCAAGCGGTCACAACAGCCGGAACTGAGCTGATATGAAGCCAGGAGCCAGAAGCTTCCTCCAGGTCTCCCACGCAGGTGCAGGGTCCCAAGGCTTTAGGCCGTCCTTGACTGCTTTCCCAGGTCACAAGCAAGGAGCTGGATGGGAAGTAGGGCCGCTGGGATTAGAACTGGCTCCCATATGGGATCCCGACCTGTTCAACGTGAGGATTTTAGCTCTACGCTATTGCGCTGGGCCCTGAATTAGGGGTGTTAAAGCCAGGGCTGGACTAAGCCAAAACCAGAAGCTAGAAGCTTCATCCAGGTCTCCCATGTCAGTGGCAAGCACTTGGGCTATCTTCCACTGCCTTTCTCAAACCATTAGCAGGAAACGGAACAGGAAATGGAGCAGCTGAGATGTGAACCAATGTCCCTGTGGAATTCCAGCACTGTAGACAGCCAAGTAAGCCACAACACGAGAGCGCCAAATCCAGCCTCATTGTAATCTGAGAAGTACCTGGACTTGACCTCAGGGACAGCTGTCTTACAGGGCACCGATAGGCGCTGCCGTGCTAGGAATGCCTTCTTCCTTAGCTCCGCACACCCCAAACCCAACCCATCACTGGCAACACTACCCCCAGGCCTCTCCGATGCTTGCATGCTGCTCTGCCCCATCTCGCCAGCACCTCAGCCACGTGCAGCTCATCAGCAAGTGAGCCCTCAAACCTCACTGAGGCCGGCAGCCCACCACCCCCCGGGAGCTCTCAGTGTATCTTGGAGGAAACAAGAATGAAGCCATTCCCCCAAGATCACACCAGCACATGAGCGCCAGCCTGTCCGTCTCTGAGTGCTGAGCTGCTGGGAGAGGCTGCCGGGAGCCTCCTTCAAACCCCCTGAGAGATGGAGAGAAACATCTTTGATCTACCGATTCACTCCCCAAGCGGCTGCAATGACTGGAGCTGAGCCAATCCAAAGCCAGGAGCCCAGAGCCTCTTCTGGGCCTCCCATGTAGATGCAGGATCCTAAGGCCTTGGGTTGTGCCTGATTGCCCTCCCCAACTGCCCTCCTAGGCCACAAGCTGGGAACTGGATGGGAAGCAGCGTGGCCGGGATTAGAACCGGCACTCAGATGGGATCCCAGCGAGGACTTCAGCTGCTAAGCCCTCGCACCAGGCCCCATGCTGCTTTATTCTTGAAGGAGAGTGCTTGGCCTTGCCTGCTTCCGCTAATAATTTGCCTTTTTTTTTTTTTTTTTTTAGCTATGCTGATCTGAAGTCAGGAGCCCAAAGCCTATTCTGGGTCTTGCATGTAGGTGCAGGGTCCCAAAGCTTGGGCTGAACACCACTACTTTCCCAGCAGGGAGCTGGAAGGAGAGCGAAACAGCCGGGATATGAACCGGCACCCATATGGGATCCTGGCACATGCAAGGCAAAGACTTTAGCTGCTAGGTTACTACACTGGGCCCAATAAATCTTTTTTGTTTTGTTTTGTTATAAAGGATCCCCAAAAAGGACCAACAAAAAGACTAATTATAAAAAAATTATTTATTCATATCAAAGTTACAGAATGACAGGGAGAGACACAGAAAGAGAGATCTTCCTTCTGCTGATTCACTCCCTAGGTGACCACACTGGCCAACACCAGCAGTTTCATCCAGGTCTCCCTTTTGGGTGCAAGGACCCAACTCTATGTGCCTTCTTCCACTGCTTTTCCTGGCCTTTGGCAGAGAGCTGGACGGGAAGTTGGGTGCCTGTTGGGCTTTAGGCTATTTCCTCTTTGTTGTTGCACATACCGCTGTGATGAAGAGGTTTGAGTTTCATCTGTACGTCCCATTACTTCCTTGGGATGAATCCTAAAAACTGAAAGCAGTAGGAAGTTGGTCTCAGCTTGTAGCATGCCAGAAGTTCAGGGACGTGCCTGTTTTGCATCATCAACGCTGGGTTTTCCTTTTGAGTAAAACTGGGCTGAGCTTGCACTGCCCAGATAGGTCTGGGGTGGGCTGGCAGAGTCGGGCTGAGGCCCTGGCACCAGCCCTGTGGGGGACCTGGGGTGTCTGTTGGGGCAGAATTTGTCTGCAGATCCGCTGTCCCCAGGGGCTGTCATCTTCTCTGCTCGCTGCAGGATGCAGACTCATCAGTCAAGCCGCAGCCAAAGTCGACATTGAATTTGACTATGATGGGCCTCTGATGAAGACGGAAGTCCCCGGGCCTCGGTCTCTGGTGAGTTGCGCACAGCAGAGTGTGAGAGAAAGGGACCCAGGAGAGCAGCAGACCTCAGGGACTCATGCTATCAGTGCGTTTGGACTGGTCAGTGCTGGAGACCCTGGTGTTGACCCAGGCCCTTCTGCAGCCTTCCTGAAGGTGCTAGACAGATGTGCACTGCCACAGCTGTGCAGGACAGTCACAGAGGCCTGGGGAGCGTCCACAGCCGCCCCGGGGCTGAAGGGCTGGAGCTGCAGGACTCACTGCACACCTGGCGGTGGCTGGTTGTCTGTGTCTCTGAGTCGCACTGGTCTCGGGTCGCTGCAGGACTGGCTCTGCCGCGTGGGTCTGTCAGCTTCCGGGAGGCCATACTGGGCTAGTTGTCATCGTGTTGTGTGTCTCTCGAGGCCCGGGATGCTCATTGGCTCTGTGTCATTCCTGCCTCATCCTGTTGGCCAAAGCCCCAAGGCCTGGCTTGAGTCCAGAGCAAGGGCTTAGAACACCCAAACTGCTGACGGCCAGTGGAAGTGCCTGATGATGTTATGTGGTCCAGGGTCTGAACGCTCATCACATACCCCGAATTTGATCTTGGAGAATAGGAGGAGGAATCTGATGAAGGAAATAATTCTTATCTAGGCCAACAGGTAACGGGGTAGGGTAAATGTTTTAGAGCAAATTTATTTTTCCTTACAGATTTTACACAGTGTCTTTTTGTTGTTGTTGTTGTTACTATCAAAAGCTACTCTTTTTGCCATTGCAATTATTTTATAAATGCAGAAATATTTTTGTTAATGTGAACGATTATGTTATTTTGGATTATGTTTTGTTAGCACAAGGAGAGGCATTTATCATTTGTATTAGAAGGATGAACTTTAATCTACAAGTAGTGAAATGTTTGGAATAACTCATATACTTGTCATTAATACAATTTTGTATTTTTTATACAAAAATGAATAATTTCATTACACGAATCCCTAAAGTTTATTTTACATTTAATTATTTTGAGTAAAAATTTTTGTAACTAGTTTCCAATCCAGTTTCTATATAAAATTGCATGAACAGTTTTTGGAGTGTTTGGGTTATAATGATAATACTCTAATATGCAAATTAATATTTTCACTTTATATTCTTACTAGGATAGGAATAAAGCCCTTTTTTCCTAAATGAAAAGAAAATCCATGTTTTTCTGAGTGCCAAACAAATCTCTTCAGCTTGGATTTTAGTGTTTTAGCTTTTAGTTTTAGCTTACCTCCAGTCTTGTCAGCTACACTGGTAATTTAACCAGGTCATCGAATCATTTCCTGCCGTCTACTAATACAAAAAAATTTTAAATATTTATAATATTGTTGGCAATAAACCGTTTTGTTATGAAGTTAAACCGTTAAGTCGTTGGCAAGAGAGAAGCAAAGTGCCACGACTTGGGAAGACGTGAGTGAGGCTGAGCTCTCTGGGCAGGAGGTGTGCTTGTGTAATGCTTTGTTTTTGCCCGCAGGAGTTAATGAAACAGCTGAATATAGTTCAGGTAAGTCAGACTGAGCCCCTTCTGTGGCTTCTACAATCTGATGGTTAGAAGATGCTCAAATCTGTGTGGTTCTTTAAAAAAAAAAAAGTAGTTGACTTTTTTCTAAATTCATTTTCTAATTTCCTTTGTGGTTTCATCTTTGATTTACAAGAATTTACGTGCTGTTTCACTTGAACATTTTTTTGTAAATTTCCCAATTTTCTGTTACTGACTTCTAGCTTCATTCCTGTGTAGTTGGAGAGACGTGTTGGATGTGACTTCAGTTCTTTCACATTTATGGAGGTGTTTCTAATGGCCTGGACTATGATCGGCCTAGTGGGGTGGTCCATGTGTAATTGAGCAGAGTGTGGGTTCCCTTCTTGCTGGGTGCAGGGTTGTCTGGACATTTGTTAAGTTGAGCTGCTGTCTCCCAAGTCTTCCCTGCCTTGTTAATTGTCCTATCCATTCTTGAATGGCAGGTGCTGAAGTCCCTGGCTATTGTCATAGAGCTGTTTTCTGTCCATTAATTCTGTCCTTTCTTTTTTTCATTGTGTTTTTGGGGCTTTGTTAAATGCAAATATGTTGCTAACTGCTGCATCTGAATGGACTGAGTTTTTGTCATTCTAGAATGCCTCTCCCTGTCTGGTCGGGTTTTTGTTTTATGGTCTGTTTGATGCTAGTATGACTCCTGCTAGCTTCCTTGTGTGCATCATACCTTTCCTCCTTTTCCTGTCAATCCGTTGTGTGAACAGCATGAGTTGGTTCTTTTTATTCTGACACTCTCTCTTAAATTGTTTAATCTATTCGCTATTAATATTGGCGGCCTTGTATTGATATCTACCACTTTACTTTTTTGTTCTCTTTGTTGATCTTTTACTTTTGTTTTTGCATTAAGTGGGTATTTCCTAGCGTAGCAGTTTTCTTTCTCTAATGATTACCATGTATTTTCAGTCTTCCAAGCGTTGCTCTAAGGCTCATCCCATACAGCTGGCGCTCCATACCTGCAGGTCCCACTTGTGCAGAGTCAACCAGCTGCAGATCAGAAATATTTTTTAAAAGGCTGCACTTGTACCGAACATGTTCAGACTTTTTTTTCCCTTACCATTTCCCCTGAGCAATACATCTGCGTTACGTGCCGCCTAACAGTGGTTCAGCTAACTTTGGACCACATTTACTGTGATGGGCCCAGATTAGTGTCACCTGGCGAGGCAGCCACTGGTGCAGCTGGTGTAAGTGCATTCGATGCTTGCATAGCGACAGAATTGCCCAGTGTCACATCTCTCAGAACGTGACCTTTTACTAGGCACTGCATGACTGCCTCAAGGATTCCAAGTTATCTTGGGGTGACTTAAAGGTTCCAGGGAGATGTTTGTGGGCTGTATGTAAATGCTGTGCCATTTTATAAGGGGGACAAGAATACCTGAGTTTTACTGTCTAGGAAAAGGAAGTCCTGGAACCATGGTTATCTGATCAGAGTCTACTTGAGATTTATAGCCCCCTTTTTATGATATGTAAATCACATACAGAGAAATGTATAGATTATAAAGTTGCCAACTAGAAAGCAAGCTATGTAGATAAGTGCTCCCAAAAAAGAAGGGCACCATTGCCAGCACCCAGTGTTCAGAGAACTAAGCAACAGCCGGCCCACTGTGTGAAGTTTACTGCTGAAAGACCAGGCCTCCAGGGGGCGGCAGCGAGCCTGAATCTGTCTTTCCCCGTGCAGAACGCAGAAGCCGTGCACTTTTTCTGCAATTACGAAGAGAGCCGGGGCAATTACCTGGTCGACGTGGATGGCAACCGAATGTTGGACCTGTATTCCCAGATCTCCTCTGTCCCCATTGGTAAGAGCTGGAACCCCAGCCCTTGCATGTGCCTCCCCGTCGTCTCCCTTTTGTCTCATTCGTGGCTACCCATCTAGGCTTTAGCTGTTCCCGCCAGCTGGCACTCCCCACGGGCAGGGAAGGGAACACACAATGCATGGACGTGCTATTAGGTGCATTACTAGATGCGTGTATACATAGGTGTATTATTAGGCCCAGGACACATCTCTCATTGTCTCTTCTCCAAACCCTGCCAAGTCAGGTGTGTGTCCATATCCCCATCTCACAGACAGGTAGACAGAGCTTCTGGCAGAGCAGTTCCAGCACATGTGTGAGAACCGTGTCTACCATGTAGGCTTCTTGGGTTGGGCTTCCTGAGGTGGCGATTCTTGTGCAGGTGGTTCATGAAGGGAGAGCTCTCGGGAGAAAGGCCAGGCAAAGGAATAGCATTGGGTGGAGGAGGAAGATAAAAAGGGTGAGGCCTCAGCTCCGAGGCTGCCCGTGACCTGACCCGATGGCTGCGGAGGGGCAGGGGGCGGCTTCACAGCATGGGGCCCAGCTAAGGCCAAGGGACTGGTCTCCCCCTGGGGCTGCCAGTCACTGGACATTCATCAGCCACCTGAGGGGAGGACAGATGTCACCTAGGCCAAGTGTCTTTCATGGGCCTAGGGCGATCTTCCAGTGAAGGTGGTGGCAGCTGGAGCTATTGTCAGCCCACACACAGCAGCTGGGATGTGGCCCATCGCCCTGGGAGATGACCCTGGGAGGGGACCACCTGCCTCCCCAAGGCTCCCCTCCCAGCCCTGCAGAGTAGGACTTCGTAGGGTAAAGGCGCACAGCCAGCCGGCTAATCTGTGGTTCTCAGCTTGGATGGCTGATCTAGCTTGGGCTGCTGGGTTTGCATCTGTGTTCAGTAGCTAGCAGAGCCCGTCTTCGCAAATGCTGCTGCTCTGACCCTCTGCACCCCTGCAGCAGCACCCCCAACCCTCCCACTCAGTAGCCAGGGGCCGTTCCCTGAGCCCCAGCAGTGGGTGGTCACACCCCCAGCCCATTTCCTCAAACCTATTTATTTCCCATTAAGGTGAAATGAGACAAAACAAAACAAAATCACCACGGACAAGGGACTCCGATGAGACAGGTAGAAAGGGGAGTCATCCATCCCTTCCAAGGGTGATGTGGACACCTGCCAAGGTTTCAAAACACACCTGAGGGTGTAGACCTTCCTCAGGATATGAGCTGCTGAGTTTCAAAAGCTCAGGTCCAGAGAATAAAATCAGGTGGTGGAGTCTTTTCCAAGAGGCCCTGCCACTGCCTGGTGCTCCGATGTCACGTGTAATCACCTCCCAGCATTGCCAGGGCGGTGGCCTGTAGGGAGGGTCTTGCTGGGAAAGACCTGGCTGAATCAACATGCAGTCGCAGGGAATGTCTCCCGTAAAGCGATGGCTGATTAAAACATCTTGCTCAAGACGAGCACGACCAAAGGGCAAAAGCCTTGTGGATGAACTTTGCACAAACCCTTTTCCAATTGACACAGTCAGGGTGCAAGGTCTCTCCCTAGCGAAAGTCTTGCCCCCGGTTCCCCTCCCCAAAGCAATCATTACCATGGATCTCTCCTCCAGAGACATTCTGTGTACTCACAGCACATCCCACCCCATGGCCTTCCTTTCCCGCTTGGCAGCAGATCTTAGGGCTGCGCCCAGTGTAGGCAAGCGTATTTCTGTACAATTTCAGTCACAATCAAAGGCATCATCGCTTGGATGAGGCATAATTTATTCCCCTGATCTGCATCGGCCCCACCTGGACAGCAGGTGCAGTGGGCCGTAGGAATGTGCCAGGGTGGAAGAAGCCATCGTGGTCACAGGCTGCAGCTGGCAGCACATACACACCCTGCAGCCACTGGGTGAGCTCACCCATAACCATCGGGCACTGGGGGAGAAACAGGGGACTCTACTGTAACAGCCGCGCTATCCAAGTTGGCTCTGACCTTGCATCCACCTCCTCTCTTGTTTGCCTAGTTCAGCCCATGGCAAGCCTTTTGGACACAGATGCCACAAGCTCTCCGAGAATGTGTTGAACTTTTTTTCTGGAAGGCACCCTGAGAGGCTGTGGGTCGGGGGTTCTGGGGGGAGTGCCATTCTGTCCACAAGGGTTCCTTAGGGCTTGTGGAGAGGGAAGGGACCTGCAGGACTGGACAGGAAGGGCAGGGCAGGGAGCATTTAGTTGCTGCCGCTGGTCTCTAACCATAACCTACTCTCTTCAGGTTACAGCCACCCTGCCCTGGTGAAAGTCGTCCAGCAGCCTCAGAATGTGGTACGTCTGCGGGAGCTGCAAAGCAATGGGCTGCACGCTTGCCTGCTGTTCACAGAGTCACTGGGCGGCCTTTGCTGCCCTCAGTTGTTCATGTGGAGCCCATACTGTGTGCTCCAGGCCTTGGTGAGAAAAAAACCTGCATCCTGGTTCCTGCGGAGCCAGGGAGTTAGCCACACCTGTGAATCGCTACCGTGCCGAGTACAGGAGTGCTGTGTGGACATCGTGTCAGGCCACCAAATGGTTAATGTTGGCGATAGACCTTGTGTTTGCCTGTGGCAGCTATGGTGAGGCAGGCCCTGCTGTCTTCCCCATTTTACAAAGAAGATGAGGCACAGAGAGGTTAGGGCTTTACCCAAAGTCACACAGCCAGTAGAGGTGTTGGGAAGAAAAACCTCAGGCGGCTGAGCTCCTGGGAGGATGGAGGGGCTGGGGCTTGGTGCAGTGGCATCTTAGCTGTGAGATAAGAAGGGGCTGTCAGGAGAGCTGGGAAGGAGCAGCATCCGCCCCTCAGTTAAGACAACCAGAGGGATCTGCCAAGGGTCCTAGTCGGCCCCGTGAGAAGCCCCTGCGGTGGAAGCCTTTAGTCTCTACCCTGAGCGTGGCTGAGAGCCATGGACAAGTTGTGCAGAGTGTCACAGGTGTGCAGACAGGCGTGCATGAGCCAATGTGTCCTACTCAAAGATGGTTTGCCTGCACCCCACGTTTCCTAGCCTTCGTCGTTGGCATCCCCTTGGGAGCGCTTTCAGATGTCATTTCCCTATCACTGTCCCCTTGTGAGCTGTTGTTGCCACCGTGTGTCCACTTTCCCTTGCTGCCCTAACAACAAAAGGACAGCAAACTTACACTGTCAAACAGCTGTGCGTCATCTCTCCGTTTCGGTGGCCGTCTGGTGCGGGCTCAGCCAGGGATGCTGCTTGGGGTCTCCCGTAGCTGGAATCCCGGGCTGAGTGGCCGAGCCGAGTCCCTAGCTGGCAGGTCCGAGGGAGCATCTGCTGCGGGCTCCTGGAGGTGGTTGGCAGATCTGCCCCTCAGCTTCCAGCCGGCCCCTCTGGCTTCATGGCAGCAGTAGCAGGTAGGGCTCCCCTGTCTTCCTGTCCCAGCTCCACTGTCAAGGACCCACCCAGTGGCAGAAGAGAATCCAGGACGATTTCCCTGTGCTAACCAATTGGGAACCTTATTACACCCACAGAGCCCGTTTGGCTGCAGGCAGCATCTCCCTCCAGGCGGTAGCTGTTCCTCTGGCACACAGACATGTTGAACATGCACCTGCTGAGATCTGTGCTTTTGGTGTAACAGTGAGGTTTCACTGAGAATGCAGGAATTGTAAAGGAGACTTAGCACGTGCTCTCACACTGTTCCCATGCCTCCAACCAAATTAGATAGACCACGCCCCTGATTATTTTCTGTATAAGATTTATTTTATTTTTTATTGGAAAGGCAGATATACAGAGAGGAAGAGAAACAGAGAAGCTGTCTGATCCATTGGTTTATTCTCCAAGTGGCCAAAGCTGAGCCAATCTGAAACCAGGAGCCAGGAGCTTCTTCAGGGTTTCCCACGCAGGTGCAGGGTCTCCCACGCAGGTGCAGGGTCCCAAGGCTTTGGGCTGTCCTTAACTGCTTTCCCAGGCCACAAGCAGGGAGCTGGATGGAAAGTGGAGCAGCTGGGATACAAACTGGTGCCCATATGTGATCCCGGGCGTGCAAGATGAGGACAGGGAGGCAGTAAGAGCTCCCATCCACTGGTTCACTCCACAAATGTCTGCAGCAGCCCAAGACTGGAGCCAGGAGCCAGGGACTCAGTCTGAGTCTCCGACATGCATGGCAAGGACCCACCGGCTACTTGAGGCATCATGTAGAGCTGGGCTAGCGGGAAAGAGGAGTCAGGAACTGGAGCCCAGAATCAAAACCCAGGCGTGTGGGATGCGGGTGGAATGCCTCATCTAACCAGCAGGTGGAATGCCTCATCTCTCCATCCTGCTGTTGGTGTGTGCTTTGCCTGGGCTCCAACCTGAGACTGCTAGGAAGCTTGTGTGTCTTAGTGGATCCGAAGCTGGGGGTGGAGTTACTGGCTGTGGTGTGTCTGTTCACGTCCCATCCTGCCAGGGTCTTCCCCAAGCTGTGTTCAGAGCCCCACTCCCAGGGACAGAGCAAGGACACTGCAGCTGTTCCTCCTCTCTGCTGCACTCAGGGCTGTGGCCGGGTTCTCGTTTGACTAGAGCAATGCGCTTGGGACAAGAAGGAGGTCTAAGAATGGCTGCTGGAAACAAAAGCCCAACACTGCCAGACACCGAGTCCCTGGCTCTGAGGTGTTCTTCCCTTGGAATGGCAGAGGGCCCTGTCTGGGAGGGCTGCTGGGGGCGGGGGAGGGCCCTGCTTGCCTTCCTTCCTCTATGACAGGCTTGGGGCATCCCCAGAAGTGGGATGAGACCCATTTGTGGAGGCTCCACAGAGATGTTTATGTTCAGAGCCCGGCTTTGTTGCAAAACATTGCACAGAGCCCAGATGCCTTGGCAGTTGGTGCAGAAAACACACGTCAACAAACATGTCACACACATTTGCCATGTCAACTGCTCCTCTAGGCTGGAGGGTCCCCAGGAACAAGTGATATCAAGGCCCAAGGATTCTGATAGACTGGAGGGATTGCGCCACCCTCTGACAGCCAGGCACCTCCCAGTACCCTGCTTCCACCTTTCACCTCTAAGAAGGACAGCCATGGACCACTACCTCTCCCACATGAACTTTTTCCAGTAACCACACGCCATCATTGGTTTGCCACCTTTGTTCCCTCCTCCAAGCTGTCCTCCATGTACTGTGCGTGGAGCCCTCCTGTGCCTCCAGTGCCTTCCGGACACATCCCAGTGTCCCCAATGTAAAGCAGAACCCTTGGCAGCCTGCCTCCCACTTTCTTCTCCAGCCTCTCCTCTTGACCTGAGTCCATTCACCCTCCTTGATTGCGGACCTGCTGTGTGCCGGGCACTGTTTTCGGTGCTGGGCTTCAGCAGGGCTGTCATGGTCTGACACAGTGGGGTGATGAGCTCTTCTGCGGAGGATCTTGGAGACAGGAACCTCTAAGAGAGCCCCCTGGAGCAGGGGTGGTTGACTGCTAGGACAAAGTGACTCCTGCAGCAGGTGCCCAGGGAGACTGTCTCCTGAGTTCCTGGCTAAAGACACTGTCAGCTGGTGGTTTCGAGGTTCGAGGTTCAAGGTTCTCCTGATGAGAGGAGTTGATCAGCCCTTTTGCATCCGACTGTGCCCCACTCCTCCCCCCGCAACTCCGTGTAAACATGAGGCTGGTACCCCTGGATCTCTGGCTGTAACTTCTCAGGTCACCACGGCCATCCCCTACGCTGCCCATACACTGTGCAGTGTTATCATACACTTCAGTAAGGGGTCATACCGCAGCTGAGTACTGATTGTAACATAACATCCCCACCTCAGGGATGGACTTGGCCAAGTGGGCCACGTGCCACTCTGTGCCCCCAAGGCCTTCCATCTGCACGACTCCATGCTTTAAGACTGAGCTGCCACATCCTCCATGTGCTGTGTCATCTCACTGGCTCCTTACAAGCGAGGGTCCCCATCCTGTGATTTGAGAACACCGAAGCTCTGGGGTTGGGGGTGGTCAGTGGCTGCATGCTCAGGTCACTTCATGCTATACTTTGAGGCTGCAGAGCTTTTAGCTGCTAGGCTGCCTTGCTGGACCTCTTGCAATGCTTTTGAAAGTATCATTTTAAAAGCCACATAACCAAACATTGGGCACCAATAGCATGTTTCTTCTGTGTTGATCTAAATCATGCTACATGGATCCTTGCACACATAACTCTTGTGTGTGGCATTGTTGGAGAACTGGAAATCCAGACAGCCAGATCAGAGTGCAGGACGTTGGAGGATCCACAGCATGCCTCACCAGCATGCTTCATTGAGCTTCGGCAGGTGTCCTTCCAGGCCTGGACTTGGTTTTTCTCTTCTGGACCTGAAGGCCAGTGTTGGAGAGATTGTGGGTCCAGCCTGGGCCCCCGGCCCTGTTGTGTCAGCCCATTGTCAGGGTCGGAGCGACTGCACCTGATTTAGAGATGACAAGAGACTGTTTTGCCTGGGCAGTACAGCTCCTGGCCTTCAGGCGGAGGTGGTTGTGTGATATTGTTGGCGCATGTTTTCAAGTTCCTTCATGTAAGTCTGCATTCCCTTTTCTTCTGAAATTCGGAGGTGTGGGCTCCCCTGGACTGCACTCCTGCTCCCACGTTACAGGGTGGGGCTGAGCCACCTCCAAGGGAGCAAGCCTGTCACAGATAGCCCTGCACCCCACCCCCAGAGCTGAGCACTCATTTCACACCGGCCTGGCTCTCACTGTTGGGTTCCTTGCAAAGAAGACTGTTACTGTGGCCTTACATCTGCCTCTGGCTAGCAGGAGCTGCGCTCATTTGCTGACATTCTGGGAAATGGCTGCCCAGTGGGTGGCCCTTTGCCTCTCGCCTCTTTCACTTGGCACATGCTCAGCACTGATGTTCATCCCTTGGTTGTGTGTGTGCAGCGGTCACTCTCATTGGTGCTGAGTGGCCGTGCTGTGCGCATGGACTGTGGTTTGGGTGCTCCCCTCTTTTTGGCATTCGCTTGCACAAGGTTGCCCAGGGGTACACTGCTGGTTGAAACTACAGGGGTGTGTGTAACATTATAAGAAGATGCCTCACTGCTCTCCAACCTGGCTGCCCCATGTTACCTTCTGTCCAGCTGTGAAGCGTTCTGGATGCTCTCCCTCCTTGACAATACTTGGTACTGTGTGTTCTTTGCTTTTTAGACATTCTGGGTGAGTGTTTAGTCTGGCAGTTAAGATGCCAGCTTGAGATACCCTCACCCCATGTTGCATGATTGGGTTTAAGTCCTGGCTCCATTCCCAATTCCAGCTGCCTACTGATTCAGACTCTGGGAGCAGCAGGTGATGGCTTACGTAGCTGAGTTCCTGGCCCACTCCTGGGGAATCTAGAAGGTTCTTGGCTCCTGGCTTTTGTCTCCTCAGCTGCACCTGTTGTGGGCCTTTGGAGAGTGTCCCAGCAGATGGGAGTGCTCTAGTAAGTAAAATGAGTTAATTGATTTTATAATAAACTGCAATTATAGGTTCATAGGAAGTTGCAAAAACTAATACAAAGAGATTCCATGTACTGGTCCCTCAGTTTCCCCCAGGGGGGTAACATCTGTGAAAGCTAACATGTAGGATCACAACCAGGAAACCAACACCTTTTAAACTCCACACAAGCCTTGCAGATTTCTTTCAGGCTTTGGAACAGTCTGACCTCCCCACCAGCCTGCTGCACACACAGAAGCTCCCTGGACACTGTGTGGGAGAAGCAGGGCTGAGAGCCAGGGCAGGCCCCAAGATGTCCCTGTTTGTCTCCTGGCCTTTGCAGAGCACATTCATCAACCGACCGGCCCTGGGAATCTTGCCCCCTGAGAACTTTGTGGACAAGCTCCGCGAATCCTTGCTCTCGGTGAGTTTTCTCCAGAAACCACCCTGGCACAGCGCCACTTCCCGCCAGCTCTGGCACCACTGACCTGGGTCCCGGAGGTGGTACCCATGGGGTGTGGGGCAGGAAGCCCTGGGATCTGTGCCACAAGGGGCTCAGGTGCTGCTGCTGCTGGGTCTTCCGCTGGCATTAGTAGTGTTTGCCACCCTCCTTCTAAAGACAAGGGGATTGTTTGTGCATAGGACACGGGGAAGCTCCAGGGGACTTTACGTTTGCCCAGGACAGGAGTTGAGCGTGGGATATTCACTGCCCCGACTTACCAGGCTTTGCTGATGATGATTACAGTCGGTGGGAACTTTACATTCCATTTGAAAGTGGGGGTGCTAGTCACAGCAGAAGGGACAGAAGGGGCTTAGGTCCCTTTTGTAGTTCTACGACACCCTTTGTTCCTCTCCTAAACCCTGGGCCCAGGGCACAGCACTTGTGAAGAGAGAGCTTGGAGGCCACAGGGAAACCCAAAGGGGCCTGAACTCACAGCTCTATTCCTCACGGCAGGTGGCTCCCAAAGGGATGTCCCAGCTCATCACCATGGCCTGTGGTTCCTGCTCCAACGAGAACGCCTTCAAGACCGTTTTCATGTGGTACCGGGTGAGGCCTGGGGGTCTGCCTATGAAGGGACACACACACACACACACACACACACACACACGCCTTCACCCAGGCACATGTTACCCTTTCCCACCATTCATGCCAGCTGACTGGAGAATTAGACTTCACTGACCATTGGACCCCAGGGAGGGCCACTGCCTGGCTGGAACTTCCCCAGCATTCCGGCGGGTATGGTCCCCAGGCCCAGGCTCTGGTATCAAGCCTGCACCCATGGCATCACACTGCTCTCCCACACATCCTGCCACTTGGGCCCTCGTGGTTGGCACTCAGGTGTCTCTTAGCAAGTCGACTGTTTCTTACCATGGCAAGCACGCAGGTGGCAGTCTGGTGCTGCGAAGCAGGCGTGTCATCACCCACACATGAGACCAACTCTTGTATCCGCTCTTGCTCCAGCTGTCTGGATTTGGGGGTGGTGAGTTGCAGCTCGGTCAGGCATGGAGAACCTAAGATGCTGTTCTGTTCTGTCTTGTCAGAACAAGGAGAGAGGGCAGAGGGGCTTCTCCAAGGAGGAGCTGGAGACGTGCATGGTCAATCAGGTGAGGACTGCGGGGCCACCTGCCCTGGGTGGGTGGGGGTGCTGCCTGACTCCCCTTGGCTGACACTGGCTGCATGACCCCGTCCTCCTCCACATCTGTGCCCTGGGGATCATGGCTAGGTGGAGCTCCTTCTGCCCACCTCTGCCAGTTTCCCAGGAAAACTGCTTGCCCATGAGGCCCAAAGAGGCGTTCAGTGAATTCTCTACAATCGTGCAAAGTGTGATTACAATGGTGTATGTCAAAATGCTCTTGGAACTAAAGTTGATTTTGGTTCAAACATATTTAAATCCAGGCATGCGAAGCGTCTTCCAAAAGTTCATGGAAAATGTGAATGATGGGGAAAAAATGCAGGACTGATTTCAAAACTTTGACACCAAAGTGAACTTGTCTTCATTTTCTAAAGAACTTTTGACATATCCTCAGTGTACTCAGAGTGTTCATCTCACTGGTGTTAGCAGTGTCAGTCACCAAGGACAGGACTACCAGGAAAGGTAGAGCTTCCGGACCCATCCACAGCCGTTCACAAAGACACCCAGGACTCCCCGCAGGACGGAGCTGACAGGGACGTTAAAGTGGATGAGCTTGCGGGCTGCATGTCCAACTTTGTCCTGAGTCAGCCCGTCCAGCAGTCTGTGAACAGGGTCCCTTTTGGATGTAAGGATTTACTTATTTATTTGAAAGTTCCACAGAGGGGGAGCAAGAGGGAGGGAGCTCTTCCATCTTCCAGTTCATTCCCCAGATGACTGCAGTGGCCAGAGCTGGGCCAGGCCGAAGCCGGGAGCGTCATCGGGGTATCCCAAGCACTTATGCTATCTTCCACTGCTTTTCCCAGGCTATTAGCAGGGAGCCGGACGGGAAGCAGAGCAGCCAGGCTGTGAACCAGCACTCATATGGGATGTTGTTGTAAGCAACAGCCTTACTTGTCACACCACAATGCCGTCAGTCTTCCCACTAACTCTCATTAAGATTTATAAGTGTCCACTGCGTTAAAGGAGAAGGGACCAGTGGCATTGTGGGTTCCCACTACCTGCAGTACCAGCATCCCATATGAACACCAGTTCAAGTCCCAGCCGCTCCACTTATGATCCAGCTCCCTGCTAATGGCCTTGGAAAGCAACGGAAGATGGCTCGTGTCCTTGGGAGACTGGGCCATTGTGACCTTTTGGGGAGTGAACCAGCAGATGAAGATCTCTCTCTACCTCTGCTCCTGCCTCTCTGTAACTCTGCCTTTCAAATAAAATACGTCTTAAAGGAAAAAAAAAAAAAAGCAAGAATCAAGAGCCACTGAGCTTAATTATCCACTGTGTAAATTCACAATATTCTGCAGCAGAAATAGTGGCTTGAGGTTTCTCTTGGCGACAGCATGAGATTTTTCTTGGCCAGAGCACACGGGCTGCAATTTAGTGAAAATGGTGGAATGTCAAGTGTTTGGACCCGGTGCCCTCAACCGTGGAAATAAAAACAGAAACATCCTGGGAGGAATCCTGCCAACCAGCTTTTACAAAAACTTGCTTCTGGGTGCTCAGATTTTTTTTTTTTCTTGTGCTTTCTTAATGTGTACATTTTCCCCAGTTTGCCTCTCGCTAGCAAAAGTCTCCACGCCTTTTGTTCTGTTCCTATAAGCCTACATAAACACACGCCTGCATTGTCTCCTCTGGCCATTTTTGTCACAGAACCTCCCTCTACCACTTTCTCTGAATTGGCTTTTCTTTCATTTGATATCTGTGGACATCTTATGCCAGCCACCGTTTTCTATCTCACCCCTCATTAGTGTTTGTATTGGAATGTGCATAATGACTAATGAAGTGGACTTCATGTGCATTGCATTATAATCAGGACACAATGCAAGATGTCAGATGGCCTTGTGGAATTTGCAGGATAACAAGGGGATTTTTCCCAGAGTTTCTGAGAGCCTGGGAAAAAAAGCAAAAACAAAATAAAATCTCAGTGGAGCAGCCTCCTAGGGCCTCGATCCCACGGTCACCTCCAAGGCACCCCTGCCCCTGGGTTCCCTTGTGTGGGAAGATATGAATTTGTGAACTTCACTGTTGTAAAACCATCAACTGTAATCTTGTGAAAAAGTAAGAATTCAGGGCAAGGGCCCTGAAGCAGTTGGAATGGGAAAACCTGGGCATAGGAACTCCCTTGTAGGAAGACATTTGGTTAGGGGAGGACAGTGAGGAATCTCACCAGCTTAATCCTGCAGGAAAGCTCTGGGAAGTCAGGGCACAGGTCCCGAAGAGATCAGAATGGGAAAGCATGGGCGCAGGAACTCCCTGATCCTCCGGCCTTTCCCCGTTTACATTCACACTTTTAATAACACAAAAGCATCAGCAAAGATGTCATCTTCCAGCTTCGATAACTGATTGGAGAGGTGCTTCTTCTCCCATATAATGTTTAATCATTAGTAGCTAGAATACACTGTCTACTGACTGACCCCCTTGCATGCGAGCATGTAAACCATATCCTGTTAGACCCTCCTTCCTTGTATCTCGGGGACACTCAGACTTCTGAAGTCTTCTGCTGTTAATGACCTTTGGCTATTGACCGTCAGTCAGTAGCCTGTGTGTATGATGATCGGCTCCATGCACCAAGTCCCTCACGGTAGGACAGTGAATACACTTGAACTCCTTTGAAGAGTGAACCAGGAGCAGTGTGGAGTTCTTGCTTTGAGCTTCATGCCATTCCCAAAGCCAAGGAGGAGTTGCCATGGGAGAGGGAAAGGAAAGAGTCCCTCTCCAGTCCCCATGCCTTTCCCGGCCCACAGACCCTCCCTGTGAGGAGGCTGGCTCAGTCCCTCATCTGAGGTCACCTGACAACACAGGTGAGACCTTGCACCAGCAGCACTTGGCCCACCTGAGGGTCTCTAAAGCATGGGAAAGTCAAGACAGATATTTTAAGATCTGAAAAACTCCAAACTGTGACACCCTTCTGGTCCCAAGTGTCTTAGATAAGGGAGACTCAAGCTCCATCTATGGGAAATCTGTAAATATTCTTATTAAACAAGTGGGGCATATAATGGCCTCCAGGGATCCAGCTTGTAACCTCCGCGTCGGCCCCAGACCCTAGGCAGGTGGCTCATGCCTGATGTCTCTTGGTTCTAGGCCCCCGGGTGCCCGGACTACAGCATCCTCTCCTTCATGGGCGCGTTCCACGGGAGGACGATGGGTAAGGAGGGACCGGTGTGGTCCCAAGGTGTTGCCTAGGGAGACAGTGGCAGCAGCAACATTGGTGACAGCTGCCTTTGTTCTGGCGTTGGCAGTTTTTACTGTCCACTCCCCTTGGCAGGTGTGGAAATGCAGAGTCAGCATGGAGAGGGAGGATGGTTTGCTGTGCCATTTAGTGGTAGAGTCAGGGTTTGAACCCTTGTCTGTCTGTCTTTGGAGCCCCGGCGTCACTTGTGATAAGTCACGAAGCTAACGCATGCACAGATTAGGGTTCCCAGGTTGGGCCTCCACAGTGTCTCAGGAATGGGTGTTGTGCATGCAAGTAACACTCTCCCTAAACACTCAAACTTTTGAGCTGAAAGGCACATGATCTTAGGTAAGGACAGTCCCACTCCCCAAGCCAAGCACCTGCTTCTCTGTTTTGCTGGACTCAGGTTGCTTAGCGACCACGCACTCCAAAGCCATTCACAAGATCGACATTCCTTCCTTCGACTGGCCCATCGCGCCCTTCCCCCGGCTGAAGTATCCTCTGGAGGAGTTTGTGAAAGAGAACCAGCAAGAAGAGGCGCGCTGCCTGGAAGAGGTGACCCACCCACCACCTCCATCACCCCACGGGTCTTCCAGGTCCTCCCATCCCAGGAAGAGAGTGAACCTGGGCATCTAGACAGTACTCCGAGGGAGGGACAGAGGAATGGATACCCCGGGCGCCGCATCTGGAAAGGGAACAAGAGAACGTTGGCTTTTAGCACCCAGCATCTATTACCCCGCTCTGGCACCATCTCTGTGTCCTTGAAGTCTCTTTGGGGGCCAAACTGCAATGACTCTAAAATAAGAGAATATGGATTTACTAGAAGAATATGGCTGCCTGAGCTCCTGCAGCCTGCTGGTTTTCAGAGTGCTCTGGGGTCCTGGCCTGGGGACTTGCCCTGAGGTTGATGATCTGTTCCCTGCCCTGAGTTGTTGATGGGCCCTGGGAGGCCCCTGGTGCTGGGAGACAACAGCGAGCGCCAGTGCTGGGTTTGCATTTGAGCTCAAACGTGGCTGCTGGCTTTTCTCTTAAACATAGCATCATTTTCACTCCATATTCACTGTTCACTTATTAGGCATTCAACCAAGGGCTAGGTGCTGCATATTCAGTGGTAAATGAAAGAGATACAATAATGGTTTCAGGCACCATACTCTTCAATAGAGATATAATGCTACACACGTTAACTGCAGAGTTTGAAATAATCGCAGTATTCAGATGCCTCGAGATGGGTTGCCAACGTAGCAAAGAGCAGCTTAACCTGCTGCACTACCACGCGTACTTCACTCTACCAACTGCTTTCTAAGTGTTTGATAGCCACGTGGGACTCAGGGCTACTGTATTGGACAGTCCAAGCTGTTAGGGGTCTTGGAAATTCAGACTTCAATCCATGGGTGGGAAAAGAACCACTGTTATCAGGGCAAGCGCTTGGAGCAGCCCTCGTGGGACACGCACAGCCCAGAGCAGCGTCCCTGCCTCTGTCAGACTCCACCTCCCGAGGGCAGATTCCTACCCAGGTACGCTGGGAGGCACGGGTGACAGCTCCAGCTCGAAGCGGTTCATGGCACCCACATGGAAGACCTCGATTGAGTTCCAGGCTCAGACCTCCATCTGCCCCGTGGATGCCTACTATGGACATTTAGGGAGTAAATCAGCAGATGGGAGCTCTCTGTTTGCCTTTTAAATAAAATTAACATTAAAAATAATATGATTATTCAACTATTAAGAAAGGACCTCAGTTACCACCCTTTCGTTATCTGCAAGGTGACAGTTTAAGACAAGCATACAAGAAATGCAACAACTTAGGGACAGTCAGGTGCTTCTCTTACTTCCTCTCACTAGTAATAGCTAAAACAACTTTGAATTCACTAACATAAAATTTACATCCACAAAAGATTCCCACTTCAGTGTCTAGTTCAATAGCATTTTTTTTAAGATTTATTTTTTAATTGGAAAGTCAGATATTCAGAGAGGAGGAAAGACAGAGGGGAAGATCTTCCTTCTGATGATTCACTCCCCAAGTGACCACAATGGCTGGAACTGAGCCAGTCCAAAGCCAGGAGCCAGGAACTTCCTCTGGGTCTCCCACACGGTTGCAGGGTCCCAAGGCTTTGGGCTGTCCTCGACTGCTTTCCCAGCCATGAGCAGGGAGCTAGATGGGAAGCGGGGCTGCCGGGATTAGAACCAGCACTTATATGGGATCCCAGTGAGGACTTTAACTCCTAGGCTGCTGCACCAGGCCCGAGTAGCATAACTTTTTAAATTTTTATTTATTTATTAATTTGAAAGAGTTACAGGGAGGTAGGGGGCAATGGTTCATCTGCTGGTTCATTCTCCAGTTGCATGCATTGGCTGGAGCTGGGCTGGGCCTGAGTCAGGAGCTTCTTCCAGGTCTCCCACCTGAATAGCAAGGCCCCAGTTACCTGGGCCATCTTTGCTACTTTCCCCAGGTGCATTAGCAGGGAAATGGATAGGAAACAGATTAACCTGCACCTCCAACCGGTGCTTATGTAGGCTGTTAGCATTGCAGGCAGCAGCTTAACTCACTGCAGCACACGCCAGCCCTCTGCCACCCCCCAGCCATTTTCAGCACTCTGTGCGCCTATCCAGAGCCCCTGCAGCTGACTTCCGTTCCCCTTCTGGAATGCAGGTGGAAGATCTGATCGTGAAATACCGGAAAAAGAAGAAGACAGTGGCTGGAATCATCGTGGAGCCCATCCAGTCCGAGGGCGGAGACAACCACGCGTCCGATGACTTCTTTCGGAAGCTGCGAGACATTGCCAGGAAGGTCAGCGGGCAGGGCCATGGTTCTCGGGGTTGTGGGAATTTCTGGGTGATGGTCGGGACATGGCACCTGGGGCATGGGGAGCCCAGTGCAGGCTTCACTGCTGGAGGCACCTCCTTCTGAATGGGACCAGGGCTGAAGCCATCGGCGTGGGCGGAGTTGAACGCTCCCATCTTTAGGGAAGATGCCACAGTCCTGGGATGGCGCGGCTGGCCTGGGGTTCGGCAGCCTAGGGCTGGGTGGTGTGGGTGTCAGGTGTGGGTGCGAGCGATCTTCTCTTGGTCTTTATTTGCCCTCTCACATCCTGGGCCAGCACGGCTGTGCCTTCTTGGTAGACGAGGTCCAGACGGGAGGTGGCTGCACGGGCAAGTTCTGGGCGCATGAGCACTGGGGCCTGGACGACCCCGCAGACGTGATGACCTTCAGCAAGAAGATGATGACGGGGGGCTTCTTCCACAAGGAGGAGTTCAGGCCCAATGCTGTGAGTCCATGCTGCCTTCCCTCGTGGGAGCACCCCGCCCCCAGATCATTTCTTGTGAGCAGCCAGGCACGGAGAGGTTAAACAAGTTGTCCAAGGCCACACAGCATGTAAGTGGCAAAGCCAGGATTCTGACCAAATCCATGCTCTCAACTATGCACTAGCACCTGTGTAAACAGATTGTGTCCTGCCCATACCCTGCAGCCACCAAGAGCCCAAGTGCCTGCCTTCTGCCATTCTGAGCTGTGATTTCATGATCCAAAACAGCTGCTGGCGCTCCAGCCATCACATCTCAGTTGCAGGAAGTAGGAGGAGGCAAGGACAGAGTGCCCCCCCTCCTTGTCTTTGGCAGCCTTCCGAGAAATCTTATGTTCACAATTCTGTTTCCAACGCTCAACATGGACCTGGTCCCACGGCCACTCCTGACCATAAGGGAGGGTGGGAACTGTGTGTTCGCTGGCCATGATGACATGTCCCAGATCATTCATGGGCAGGGTCAGACTGATAGCCAGGCAGTCCCAAATCCACACTTCTGAGCCCTGCAGCCCGGGCGGATGACAGCAGCTCCCAGAGCCTCGACCTCCTCCTCTGAGGGCTGTGGGGTGCAAGCTGTCCTGGTTCCTCGGGGTGGGGACGAGGGCAGGTGCTGTCCCCCTACCCCTGGTGGCCACTCCCTACCCTGGCTTCTCTCCTCCCCAAGCGAGGCATGTCCGGAGGCCAGGGGTCGTGGGGGAGCCCTTCCAACAGCCTGTGTCTGCTTGCAGCCCTACCGGATCTTCAACACCTGGCTGGGGGACCCGTGCAAGAACCTGCTGCTGGCCGAGGTCATCAACGTCATCAAGCGGGAGGATCTGCTGAGCAATGTCACCCACGCTGGCAAGGCCCTGCTCACAGGGCTGCTGGACCTTCAGGTACCTCCCCAGGCTGTACCTGGGGCTCGGTCGGGTGAAGGGGCACACGGCTCAGCGCCTCCTGCGGGGTGGCCCAGGACCGACCCTGCCGGTTCCAGCCCCCCAGCCTCACCTTGTGCTGTGCTTTCTGCGGGGACTGCTTTGCCGCCCCGGTGGCCCAGTCATGTCCCCAGTCTCCGAACTCGCCGTTGTCACTGGCCGCTATGTTCAGATGTCAGGATTTCATCCATCACGTCCACGCCGTGCCCTGTCCCCTCCTACCACACACCACGCAGCTCCCATGCTATTTTAAACATTCCACTGACCAAGCCAAAAGTACAAAAAGAAAAAAGAGGTGAAGTTAGTTTTAAGAATATGCTCTACATAACCTGTCTTTTCCAAAACATTGCATCGATATAGAAGTTGTAACTGGCTGTTCCATATACCTTTCCTCGTGGTAAGCCTAAGTTTGGGTTTGGACTGTCACCATGTGACAGCCACCTGTGGCCACCACGTGAGACAGTGCCACCCTCCATTACAGCCCAGTCAGCTGCACCTGCACCCCCAAGCATGACTCTCCTAGACCTGGGGTGGAGTGGGCAGAACCTAGATGCCGAGAGCAGAGGTTATCTCCCCCACATGGCCTTCCTTTGGCCTTCCCTGACGACGCAGGAAGAACCAGCACGGGCCGGCGGAGGGGGGCGGGGGAGTGAGGAGCAGATATTGATGAGTGATGCTGATAATGGTGAGGTTGGTTGCAGCAATGCTGGTGGTAACAAACAGCCACCACTTACCCAGAGCTCCTGCTGCTCCAGGTGCTTGTTCCTTGGCCGGGGCCCCATGGCCACCCCTGCTTTATGGATGTGAGGGCTTGCTGACGTGGCCCCAGTGACACAGCTTCTGTGCGGTGTTGTTGGTGTCCTCTGACTCTGGTGGACTTCCAAGTTCATGTTCTTCCCCGGTGTCCAGGGTCAAGGACCTCATGATAAGAACACTTTCTGTTCATTGAGAAGCTGCTAAGGGTCAGGCCTTGCACGAGATACCTTATGGCATTTGTCTTCTTTGAGCTATTTAAGGGCTGGTACTGTGGCATTGTGAGTTAAGAGGCCTACCTGTGGGCCAGAATTCCACACTTTCGATTCAGCTCCCTGCTAACGTGCCTGGAAAGGGGCTGGTGGATGGCCCAAGGGCTTGGACCCTGTACCCGTGAGGGAGGTGGTCTCATGGTCTCATGGTGGTCTACCCTGCCACCCCCTCCTTGTGGCCTTCTAGAGAGTGAACCCACAGATGGAAGATTCCTCTCTCTCCCTTTCTATGACTCTGCCTTTCAAATAAATAAAAATAACTTTTAAAAATGTAAAATAAAAAATAAATATTTATCTATTTGGAAGGCAGAATCACACATGGAGAGAATTTTCCATCTGGTTCACTCCCCAAATGGCCGCAGTGGCCAAGAAACGGTGACTCATAGTTTGGTATGAGTTTATCCCATGCAACATGTGGGACATACTTAAGCTAAAGAACATTATTCACTGTGTAACTGAGATTCAGACTTACTGGATGTCCTGTATTCTATCTGGAAATGCTCACTCAGAATGGTTTGAAATTGGGAAGATGCCCGTAATCCTCATTTCCTGCCCAGGGAAGTGGAGGCTGGGGGAGGGAAGCACTGGCCCAAGCTTAGGCAGCAGCATGGGAGCCAAATTTTCAACCCAGATCTGCCTGAATTATGAAAACTGCTGGAGTCAGCATGGCTGTTGAGACAGGCGAGATCCTCCCACCAGCACGCCCTGCATGGACTTCAGAAAGGGGCTTTTCCCGGGTGTGAGTCCCACCTAAGCTCTAGGGAAGGGCCTGCATGGGCCCCCCTCCTGCCTGTTGGATTGCTCCTTCACCGTCCAGTGGCACAGGCAGCATCTGCTCCCTGGAAGACACCTGGGCCCTGCCTGGGTTGTTCTTGTGCAAGTGCAGGATGAGGCGTGGGGCTAGGGTCTGGGGACAGGCAGGTCATGTTCCAGGTGGTGGTACTTCACTGCGGTCCGTGCCGACCGATGTCTAGCTGCCATCCTCAGGGGCCATCCGTCAGGTGCTTGAGATAAGAAAGGACAGGCAGAGTTCACAGTCTGAGCAGGGACTGGGTGGCAGCAGCACAGACAAGGTACCGACAGAAAGAGGCACCCGGAGTGTCACGGTCCCTTCCACGCCTCTGTGCCTGCTTCCCAGGACTCTAGCACGTCCTGGTGAGTGCTCTCCGCCCCCTCCTAGAAGGCCCTGATCAAGACAGCCTGGCTCTGAGAAGTGTGCCAAGAAGTGTTCCCCAAAGCAGGTTCCACAGAAAGGAAGCTGCGTGTCCCCAGTGCATACACACATGCACACAACCGTTCCCAGGCAAAAATCTCTGGCAGCCTGTTTTAGGGAGCTGAGTCAGCGAATTTCAAGGGGCCCCTACAAAGCTGAAGGCAAGGTGACTGGAATTAATGGGAATGCACAAGATGAGTGGGTGAGACCCCAGAGGGTAAATGTGGCACCCAGGCCACCCAGCAGCAGCAGCAGGGTAGAACCAATGCCCAGGGCCTTGCAGGCCTCGTTCGCTGCATCTGTGGGATCCCCTTTTTACCAGGAGTGTGCACGAGGACTCGAGATGGGGCATGTCAGGGCCCGGCCTGGGGCCCGGCTTTGTCACCCCAGAGCATGAGTTTGCCTCCAGCACCTACCCAGGAGCCATCATACACCAAGACCCAGCTAGGCTGGAATCATTTGAGATGGTCCAGATCACCTGTGTGCTGTCCTTGGGGGAGACAGTACAGAGGAGGGAGCCCCAGGATCTCTGATCTGGGCACATCTCACACCTGGGGCTGCTGTGACACATTCCCACCAACAGTCCACAGCTTCTGGCCATAGGGCTCGCGTGTCTTGTAGATGCAATACCTCAACCTCTGCTCCTGCCATTGCGTGGCCTTTGGCTATCTGTGAGCACATGGCCCTGTTACATGGACACCCATGAGTGGCTTAGGGCCCACTCTCACCCGGTAAGGCTTTGTGTCAGCCGAACTCATGACAAGTGCAGAGACCCTGCTTCGAAATGAAGTCCCTGGCAGGGCACTCTTCTCTCCGGATGTCTGCTTCCCAGCTGCCTCTCGTCTCCTGGAATAGCCGCTCTGTGGCTTCCTAAGAGAAGAGCTACGCACAGCCATGGCTGCTGCCAGTAGAGCACCTGCAGAAACCTGGTGCCTCAGGTTTCTCACCATTGCCTGTTAGGATCCGGAGCATTTGCATCCTTCAGTTTGCAAAGAGAGAGCATGTGGTGGGCCACTGGAGTGACTTGCCCAAGGCTGCACATGGAGAAAGAAGCAGAGCTGGGTTCCCTCTGGCCTGTGCAAAGGCCCAGAGGCTGGGCCACAGCGCCGACCGTGTGAGTGCAGCCCTAGGGGCTGCTGGCATCCCAGAGACAGGCTCTAATGGCAGCCCCGTGTTTCCCACTGCAGGCCAGGTACCCCCAGTTCATCAGCAGAGTGAGAGGACGAGGCACCTTCTGCTCCTTTGACACTCCAGATGAGTCGACGCGGAATAAACTCATCCTCGTTGCCAGAAATAAAGGTAAGGAACTGGGTGTGGACACTGAGCCAACCCGTGACCAGCGCTGCCTTGGGTGGACATAGGGCAGGACAGAGGAATGGGGAGCAGGTGGTCCGGGAGCCAGGACCATGTCACACTGTCCTGCAGGTCAAGCTTAAGGCTGGATTGTGTCCTGAGAGTGATGGGAAGCTGCCAGTGTTAGGTGTGAGGGTTATGGGCTAAGAGCAGAGTACCCAGTGTGTGTTAGGGTCAGTGTCACATGTTTTCCCTTGTGCCATCTTACAGAACCCCAAAGGGCAAGATAGTTGATGTCCTTCATCAACATGTTGTGGAAGATGTTAGACCATGAGGCCAGTGCTGTGGTGGGGTGGACTGGGCCTCTGCTTGCAGCACCAACACCCCATATGGGCACCGGTTTGATCCCCAGGGGCTCCACTTCTGATCTAGCTTATTGCAGGTGGCCTGGGGTAGAGGCTGGGGCAGCAGATGAAGGCCTGTATCCGTGGGCCCTTGAACCCACAGCACAGACCCAGAGGAAACTCCTGACAGTGGGGCCAGGACTCAAACCGGGTGCTCGAATGTGGGATGAGGCACCTCAAGCAATGACTCCACTGCACTGAATGCCTTCCACTGCTTTTTTTCTTTCCCCATCCCACCATGAGGTCTGAAGAGAGGACTTCATCTCAGGATTCTCTATTAGCAAACCTGGTGCAGGGTCCATAGTGCAGGCACTCAGCATTAGGAGGGTGGGAGGGAAAGAAAGAAGAGTGGTTGAGATGGATGAAGGGAGAAGAAAGGGGTGGTGGGATCCAAGCGGGAAAGGAGCAGAGCAACCAGGCCAGATGGCAGCACCGGGGGCTGATGAGTGGATCTTACCCCCAGCCCTGCCAGTGCCAGACCTCACCCTTTGCCTCTCCTTCCAGGTGTGGTGCTGGGGGGCTGCGGTGACAAATCCATCCGTTTCCGTCCCACACTGGTCTTCAGGGATCACCACGCTCACCTGTTCCTCAACATATTCAGCGACATCTTAGCCGACTTCAAGTAAAGAAACCATTCCCACCACATGCGGAGAAAGCCCCAATCTCAACAGTCGTCAAATTGATTAGTTTGCCTAATTCATGTCTTCACTTAAAGGACCAGAAGCGAATGCATCCACGGATGGGTCATTTGTGGGGAGAGGATGGTTTTTGAGTGGAAAGGAAGGGAAGGGAGCGAGAGAGAGAGAGGGGCTGGCTTGGTTTCTCTCCCTGCGGAGCCAGGAGTTGGTGTTGGGTTAAAGCCCAGAAATTCTGCTTGAGTCCTGGATGTCGTCTTGAGAAAGGCTGTGGGGTTCCTGGCCAAGTTCTGCCCGCCCTTGAGCAGCCCCAGCAGTCTCTCCAGAAGCCGGTTAAGGGCATTACCCCTGCTCCTAGACTGGCAGCCAGGTCTCCCACCTCAAGGATGCTGGCATCCCCACCCTATGCAAGCAGTCACACCCTGCCTGTCTCACCCAAGCCTGAAGTTCCAAGTTCCCCCAGGCACAATTCAGTAAGGGACTGGAAAAGATTACAGGAAGAAGGCAGTGAAGGTAGGGGACCCACGGGAATTGGGAGGGGTTGCTGGCCTCCCTATGAATAGGATCTCTCTTCTCAGTCTACCTGGGACCCCTTAACTGTGAATTTTGTCCTTGTCGGGGCTTTGCCCAGGGTAGATCTCTGAGTAGCATCCCTGCTGGTTCTTAACATCCTCCATCCTGTCCTCCAAGTCAGTGTCCGCGTGGACTGTGTGGAAGGAAGTTGTAGCCTGGGCATCCGTGGGATGGGCGCACTTGAGCCCAGGGGACAGAGGCACAGACCTGTCACCCAACAGGGAAAGTCAGGGGCAGTGGTGGTGGAACTGTGTCCTCCTGTCTCCCCAGGTCTCCCCCACCAGCAGGCTCTCCCCTAGCTTTTACTCATCCATCTTCCCTTCCGAGCAGACCCATGAACTGTCTGGCAGATCCATCAGGTCGGGCTAGATTTCTCCTCAGGTGGCACACGGTGTGAATCAGAGGTCCAGAGCTCTGCATGTGGGGAAGGAACCTGGCGGTAGGTGGTTCCCTTGTACTTGCCTGCTGAAATCGGAGTTCCTCCTGAGATGATGGAGTGTGGTGGCTGCCAGGGAGACAGCACTTAACTGCCTGGCTGGGCTGCGGCTGAGGCTGGAGCTGAGCCAGTCTCGGAGCCCAGCTGCTGCAGACACTCCTGAGGTGAGCACTTTGATGGCCCTGCAGCCCTGGAGCGCTGCCTAGTCTGGCCGCTGGTTCCCCTCCTGGTGCCTTGGTTGACTCTGTTAGAAGCTGGGCATATCAAGGTCCCCGATGCAGCACCTTGCTCTCCAAAGATTTCATTTCCTTTCTCGCTCAGACCTGATCACCCACCTATTTTTTGTTTGGGGGCGTCGAAAGGCACTGACATGTGGGACAGACCTCGTTCACCAGGCATTCCCAACATCGGTGTTCCTTGGCTGTGTTTAGTGAGGAGTTCTGTCACAGTTAAGGTCATCTTCACGGCCAGTTAGGTAGAAGGTGTATGCCTCCACCTCTGCCAGGCTTGAGTTAGCTGTATGTTCTTTCCTACATCAGTCATTCACTCATCACACCTCCCTGACATACCTGCATCACCCTGGCTCTGGGCCATGCACCAGGGATAGATGAAATGACACGTCCCACTGGGAACAGAGACTCTTCAGCCAGCAGAGTGGTAAGTGCTCTAACAGGTGTGTGTGGGAATGCCAGGGAAGCCCAGGGCAGACCTCAGTTAGGCCACTCCTGGTCAGAGGAGAGCTTGAGGAGACCGTGACATCTGAGCAGGGTTTTGCAGAAAGTGCAAGAAAACCAGCCCACAAGGAAGGGTGTTGCAGAAAAGCAATGGCAGCAGCAGAAGGCACACAGCTCTCGGTCTCACAGGGAGCCAGACTCCACAGCCAATATCCCAGGGGCCAAGGCCCCGGCCTCTGACAAGCAAGATACAAACCGAATCAGAACTCATCCCTTGGCTTCAGTGTGATGCTTTCTCCCAGCTTTAGTCCTGGGTGCAAACATGCATGTGGCCCCTGGGAGTCCAGAGGGTTTCAGGTCAGGGCGTAATCAGAAACTCTGCCGTCCTCAGCAGAGGGAGCAGCTCCAGGATCTTGCCCTCTCCCCATAGGGGAGAAGAAGAGGGAAGAAGGAATGAAATAATTTTCTCTGGAAAGCCATTCCCAGATTTGGTATTCATTCCTTACCAAGGGATGTTAACTTCTTCTAAGAAAAAAAAAATCTTAAGCCATTCATTAGCCAGCTGACTCAGGACAGGATACGCCCCTGAGATGTCTTCTTTTGGGGGGCCTAGCTAGAAGATTCTCAAGGAAAAGAATTCTCAACTGAGCTTAGGAAACTTGGAAGAGGCTGGTGGGCACAGGAGCCCCGTGGACGGGCGTTGTCTAGCGTGGTTCCGAGGCTGAAGGTCTGGAGATGGAGCCGTCACATACCGTGCCATCAAATGTAGTCAGTGTCTGTGGCCAGTCTTGTCCCTCTTGCAGAAAACAAGGTCCAGCGGTAGCGGGTCCCAGCACATCTTCCCTTTTATTATGAATGAGTGTTTTTTTTTAATAATTTTTACTGATGCTCAGTAACCATGCAAGGTTGGGCACACCATAACTATAGATCGATCTGTACCGATAGCAGATCTTGGTAGAAGACCATAGCTAGGGAGCATTGCAGACTTACACATTCAAAGTGGTCCTGTTTACAGTTCATGTTGATGGTGACAATAAATGATAAAGAAATTAACATGTCACAATGTAACTGATGACCATATGCAGAATCCTGTGAATCAAATCTGTTCCCTGTGTTAATCAGTATTCTTAGATTAAAAAAAAAGGTTTATAATGGAAACATCTGAGTGAACATGGACTTTCTGGGATTAGAAATGGTTTTGTTACCTGACAAGTAATTTCTAAGTATCTATCATACACCTGTTAGAGTGGGCACTCTACCTCAAGAAGCTGGTGGGCAGGAAGCACTGTGTAAGTCCAGGAGGACATAGCATGTGACCAGGACCAGGACACGGGGAACAGCCAGGAGTGGGCCTGACCTCCGCTCAGGTTCTACTGTGGTAAGATCAATCCAGTGCAGGTCCCAGCTCAGAGGCCCGGCCCTGAGTCCCCAGTCCTCCCCAGGACTTAGTGCTGCTGCCTTCCAACTGAACGACAGCCAAGTCACTTCTGTCTTCACCTCAATCGTGAGTGGGGCCGCAGCAGGCAACACTTGCTGGCCTGTGCCCAGCGCCCCTCTGAACCGACGGTCAGTGCTTCGGCATGTGGTCACTCATTCCGTTCTTCCAGCGGCCTGAGTATGGTGCTGTTGCTGCCTTCACAGATGCCAAAACCAAGGCACAGAGGGGCCTGTGTGCCCACAGCTGGGGTATAGGCAAATGCAGGCGGAAGTCTTGCTTCTGAAGCCGTGCCCCTCGCCCCTACTTTCTTCTGCCTCTCTGGGGGTTCTCCAACTCTAATGCTCGCCAGCAGAATTTAGTGGGCTCACATCCCAGTTGCCTGGCACGCAGTAGGCGTCTCCCCCAGGGTCGTGCCTGTCAGGACTGTCTCAAGGGTCGTATTAGATGGCTGTCTGGGGAGAGTTCCCGCTTGCACACATAAAACTACTTCCCCAGTGATCCTGAAGGTTGTATCAGCCATTTGCAGCAACATAAATGTCCCTGGAGCGGGCACAAATCTGTCCAGATGGTGCTGGTCCTCTAATCAAGAAAGGATTGGAGTTGAAAGTGGCAGGATCAAAGCTGAACTCTGCCTGGGGCTCTCTGCAGCTTGCTGGGTAACAACTCACGCATTCCAACACCTTGAAGCAGCAACCAAAGGCAGGCTCCGAGCCTGGCCCTGGGCGGTTCACTCTCCAAATGGCCACAGTAGCCAGGGCTATGCCAGGCCTGAGCCAGGAGCCTGAAGCTGCTTCCAGGTCTCTTACATGGGTGCAGGAGCCCAGGTGCTTGGGCCACTTTCCATCACTTCCCCAGGCACATTAGCAGGGAGCTGGATTGGAAGTGGAGCAACTGGATTTGAACTGGCTGTTTGGATGTCAGCATCGTAGGTAGCAGCTTGACATCCTATGCCATCATGCTGGTCCCTGAATTGTACTCTTAAAATAATTAAGAGACACATTTGTGATGAATATTACAGAAAAAGTACTAGATCATACATAATTTGACATATGGGTGGCAAAATTAGGAGGATCATGCTTCCCCTTTAGTCCTTTTACAACCTGAGAACACATGGAATGATCAGAGATGTACCACCTTTATTTTTTTTTAAGATTTCTTTCTTTTTTTTTATTGGAAAAGCGGATACACAGAGAGAAGGACAGACAGAAAGGTTGATCCTTTGTCTGATGGCTCACTCCCCAAGTGGCTATAATGGCCAGAGCTGAGCCAATCCAAAGCCAGAAGCTTCTTTCAGGTCTCCTGCATGGGCACAGGGTCCCAAGGCCTCGGTCCATCCTCCACTGCTTTCCCAGGCCACTGGATGGGAAGTGGAACAGCTGGGACACATAACTGGAACCCATATGGCATGCCAGTGGTTGCAAGTGCAGGATTAGCTTTCCATTTTACAGATGTGAAAACCCAGGCAGACAGTGAGAACTGGCAGCCGTCCCAGGCTTCTGCTCCTCCTGTCGCACCTGTCTTGTCTGCCAGTGTCACACCTGTGAACTGGGCAAATCATGCCCAGGATCTTCACAGAAACCTATGGCCAGTATCTGAAGAAGCGTCACACACAAAGTGCAGGAACAGTGTGTGGTCGGGGTCTTTCCTCACACGGGCTCTGACAGAACCTCCAGAAGGCCACCTCCGTTGCTGGCCTTTTCCATCATCAATCCAGTGCCCCAGGGCTTCCCAGAGGCCTGGCTGTTCACCTGAGTGAGTCCAGCTCCCCGAACACCTGTGTGAATCGCGCTCTGTCCAGGATGCGGCCGTAGCGCAGGGAGAGGTAGAAGGTGTGCTTCCCGCTGTACTGCTGGAGACGCACGAACAGCTCCTGGGGCCGGTCCTTCGTCTCTGACAGGGGGACCATGTCGGCCACGGGGCAGTAGGTGTCCTGCCGCCAGCCCCAGAAGGTCAGGTGAGCCACCCGCAGCACGGTGCCCGACTCGTTCACGTACAGGATGCCCACGAGCCTCCGGAAGAAGTGGCTCATCCAGCATAGCATGGCCAGCGCGAAGCCTGACACCCCAGTCAGGAGGCACAGCGAGTGGAGACTCATGAGGCCCTGTGAGAACCAGTAGACGCCGGGCGGCAAGGCCACCACTGTCAGGGCAGTCTGGGCCACCTTCAGCCGAGACAGGTACCCAAAGGCCCGGATGGCGTGCAAGCGGTAGACCATCTGGAATTTCTCGCTCTCCACGCCCGCTGGAGTCTCCTGGGTGGTGGGAGACCTGCTGCCTGCCCACCTCTTGGGGTCTTCCTGCCCACTGCAGGACCACAGCCTTCTCCAGGCAGTTGGTCTCTGGCACCTGGGCACGGCTCGGAGGAGGGCAGCCTGCAAGGGAGACAAGAGATGGGTTCTCTATCAGGGTTCAGCACTTACAGGCATAAGCTTCAGTTTAGGGGCCACGACAGTGGCTCAACAGGCTAATCCTTACCCTGCAAGCACTGGCATCCCCTGTGGGAACAGGTTCATGTCCCGGCTGTTCCACTTCCTATCCAGCTCTCTGCTTACAGCCTGGGAAAGCAGAGCAGGAGAGTTCAAGTGCTCAGGACCCTGCACCCATGTGGGAGACCTGGAGAAGTGCCTGACTGCTGGCTTCAGATCAGCTCAGCTCTGGCCAGTGCAACCATTTGGGACATGAACCAACCGATGGGAGATCTGTCTCTCCAAAAAATCTACCTTTCCAATAAATACAAGTTTTTTTTTAAACGTTCCATTTTTGCAGTCATAAAGGGACATGCAGAACAGACTGAAGGAGCCGATGGTTTTAATGGCCTCAGCTTGGCACAGATGGTTCCGTGGGTGCTCCGGGAGGCTCTGTGTTTATTAGCGGGCATGCTGGACTGCTTCGGGAATAGACCCTGTACAGTCTGGCACACACGCGGCTGTGGGGTTGGTACTCGGCGCAGCCCACGTACGGGGGGCGCCCACCGTCCTGGACTCACCCCGTGACCCCAGGAGGCCGGAGGGAGGACCAGAGCGTAACCCACACCGGGACAACCCCCCCGAGGACCCTCCGAGTCGGACACCCAGGCGTCCTGCACGCCCCTCCCTCACACACCACCACCAACCACCTTACCATGACCCCACGGCCCCGCCAGTCTTCCCTGCCCTACTCCGGGAACCTGTCAGAGCGCATGCCCGACGTACGCGCCCGGCGACGCGCGTGGCATTCTGGGAGTTGTGGTACAGCGTCCCTGACTGACTCTAGTCCGGGGCCCGGTGGGAGGCTGTGGGCGCCTTCTCTTCCCGACGTGCCCTGCGGCGAAGGGGCTGAACACGGAAGTTCCGGGTCGAGTTCCGGGTGCCAGCGAGTCCTCCGCGGTGCTGAAGGGAGCCAGGGAACATGGGTGCCCCGGGACCTGCTCTTTGCCTCTTCGACGTGGATGGGACCCTGACGGCTCCGCGGCAGGTAGGCGGCGCCCAGGGCTGCGGGCTCCCAGACGGGACGAGCTGCCGCCCGGGGTGGGTGCTGAGGTGGAACCGAGGACCGCCTTCCCGCGTAGGGGGCTGAGTCCGACGCTGAGTGCCCGGGAGGTGGGAGACGGAAGTCTGAAACAAGCGGCTCCGGTTGGGACGCAGCTCGTATGGGGTTGCAAAGGGCAGGCCTGGTCTCGGACGCAGCTCCGGGGTCGGGAGTGGGAGGGACTGATGGGGGCGGGCTCCGAACCCCACAGCTCGGGGGGCCGCCGCGCCAGCTGTGTAACCTCAGCCGTCCTGCTTTGCAGCGTGATGCTCTGAGCAGGCGTCTCCTCTGCCGACAGGTGTGTGACCTTGAGCGGGTCGGTTCGCCTCTGAGCCCTGTGCGGTGTGAGGGCGATGAGGGTGCTTTGCCGTGTTGCACGCGGTGGCTCTCACTAGCCACCTGCAGCCACCCCCCACTCCAGTCCCTGCGGCGAACCCGGAGTGATACAGGCTGCTTGGTGAGGGTCTCCGTGGATCCCTGGCAACCTGCTTCCCGCCCCGGGCCTGGATAAATTCCCTGCACAAACGGGTCGTTGGCACTTGGGGCTTGGCCAGCCTGGACTTCTGCCCCACGCCTCCTAGTTACGTGTTAGGGTGGTAGCGGGCGGTGCCTCTCGAAAGTACCAGGTCACAGGCTTGTAGCCTTACAGTGTTTCACCCTTGGAGCCGCAGGGTGAGCCTTCGTAGACAGGGCGTTCAGCTCCCAGTTCCGTGCAGGCTGTTTCTAAGATTCAGCGGTCAGCACACACACCGTGTGGGTTGTGAAAAGCCCATAGCGGTCCTGACCTGGAGCCGGCAGCTACAAAAGGTTGAATGGTAAATGTTTCTGTCTTTGCAGTCTAGCACAAAAACAGCCATGGACCGTATGTCAACACGGAGTGACTGTGGTCCAGTACAGCTTTATTATTTCTGATTACGGGAGCAGACATCTGGGGCAGGTGTCTAGCATAATGGTTAAAACGTCGCAGGTGGCGGGGGATGCTGCCACAGTGTAGTGAGAAAGCTGACACCTGCAGTCCTGGCAGTTGGCTAGTTGGCGTGCTGGCTGCTCCGCCCCTGATCCAGCTCCCTGCTAATGTGCCGGGGAAAGCAGCAGAGGATGGGCCAAGTACTGCCCCGCCTAAGACAGCTGAAGAACCTCCTGGCTGCAGCCTGGCCCAGCCCCTGCTGTTGTGACCATTTGGGAAGTAAACAAATGCAACACCTCTCTGTCTTTCAAATAAACACTCAGAGCTGCAGCCTCCAAGTTGTGGGCCTGCGCTGCTGCCTGCTCACATCCCCCCTGGGGGCACTGGGCTCCCTGCCACCCACACAGGAGACCCTGAGTGAACTGAACGTGGCCCAGCCCTGGCCGGGACAAACATTTGGGGAGTGGAGGGCTGGCAGAGGGAAGTCTCAGTCCCTCTCCCTGTCTCTCAAATGGATCTTTTTCCAGAAAAGAACAAGCAGCTGTTTACTTGGTCCCAGGAGCCATGGAGCTTAGAGTTTACATTTCCAAGTGTCTTTACCTGATATTAGGCCCTCTTAAATTTATTTGCTTGCTCATCTGAGGTGAAATAGTAGTTGTTACCATTTTAAACACCAAGAAACCAAGGTGCAGGAAGAGCGGCCTCGGCAGTTTCACCCAGAGGATGGGACCGAGTGCCTGGGTTCTAAGGCATTGTTGCTTGTCAGTTCTTGCCCAGTCCTAAGATGGGAGCTGACCAGCTGTCCTGGACAATTCTGGAAGGGATGCTTCTTATTCCCAGAAGGCATTGGGCTGCCCATGCCCAAAAGATAAAATAGCCAGCAAACCTGATGCCCAGGAATGTTTCCCTCGAGACCAGTCTTCCCTCTGCTGGTTCAATCCCCAAATGGCTTACAGTGGCCAGGTTTGGGCCAGGCTAAAGCTAGGAGCTAGAAGCTTCTTCCAGGTTTCCCACATTTCTCAGGCATCTCCAGGATGGGAAGTGGGACAGCTGGGACCCGAATGCTGCACATTTGAGATGTTGCTATCCCGGGCAGCGGCTTTACTTACTGCGCCAAAAAAGGCCTGCACTCCCAAAAGGTCTTCAGAAATAGGCGGTTTGAGTTTGGCCAGAGTGTCCCACTCTGATCGACTGCCGTTCCAGGCTGTAATGATTTGGAAGGCAGAGTTAAACACAGGGATCTCCCACCTCCTGCTTCACTGTCCAAATAGTCACAATTTTCTGGGCTGGCCCAGGCCTAACCTAGAAGCCCAGAACGCCACCCAGGTTTCTGCCATATGGGTGTCGAGTCCCCAGTACTTGGGTCACCCTCCAGCTCTCTCACAGATACGTTATGCAAGGAGCTGGGTGGGAAGTGGAGCAGCCAGGACATGTGTGAACTGGTGCCCATGTGGGATCCCAGCATGTGCAAGGTCAGGATTTAGCCACTGAACCATCTTGCCCGGCCTGCCCTAACATACATATGTGTGTGTGTGATATATATATATATTATTGGAAAGTCAGATATTTGAAGAGGAGGAGAGACAGAGTGGAAGATCTTCTGTCTGATGATTCACTCACCAAGTGCCCACAATGGCTGGAGCTGAGCCAGTCTGCAGCCAGGAGCCTGGAGCCAGGTCTCTCACACAGGTACAGGGTCCCAAGGCTTTGGCCCATCCTTAACTGCTTTCCCAAGGCACAAGCAGGGAGCTGGATGGGAACGCTACGGGGCTGCTAGGATTGGAACCAGCGCCCAAATTGGATCCCGGAACGTGCAAGGTGAGGACTTTTGCCGTTAGGCTACCATGCTGGGCCCCTACCCTAACATTTAAAAAAAATATATTGAACTGCAGAAGCTTACATAATGAGAGAAAAATATGGTTTTTTGTTTTTAACATTTTCTTTTAAGGTTTTTTTTTTTTTTAATTGGAAAGGCAGATATACAGAGAGGAGGAGAGAGAGGAAGATCTTCTCTCCGATGATTCACTTCTCAAGTGACCGCAATAGCCAGTGCTGCGCCAATCCAAAGCCAGGAGCCAGGAATCTTCTCCAGGTCTCCCACGCGGGTGCAGAGTCCCATGGCTTTGGACTGTCCTCTGCTGCTTTCCCAGGCCACAAGCAGGGAGCTGGATGGGAAGTGGGGCTGCCAGGATTAGAACCGGCACCCATATGGGATCCCAGCGTGTTCAAGGTGAGGACTTTAGCCACTAGACTACCTTGCCAGAACATTTTTAGCCGCTAGGCCATTCTTGGAACATTTTAGTAAAGATACCCCATGTGTGTAATTAAGTTTAGTAAGAGTAATGAATTATTGAAGACTTTAAAAATTCAGTGCAGACCAGCATTGTGATGCAGTGAGTTAAGCCACCATTAGATACACCAACATCTCATAGAGATTCAAGTCCAAGTTAGTCGACTTCTAATCTAATGATTGTAAAAGTAAATGTTACAATGGTATTACCCACTTTCCTGTAGCCCTTGACCCTTTGTACCAACTAAGTAAGATTGTTGAAAGAAATTTTTTTTTTCAAAAGTTAATGTTGAATCCCAGGCAATAAAAAATTCCCCTGAGGTTAGGTTTATTTATTTGTGCCAAGTTTCACCAAGTTTGGGATTAACCATCTCCAACAGTGTAACAGATCCTGACACACTACACAGGACATAAAATGGTTTCATTTTAAGACCTATTTGTATATGCATATATGCAGATGCATAAATTCACAAATAGCTGGAACAGTACGTGAAAGCAATTGATATGTTGCTTATGTATTTAAAATTCAGTGAAAACAAAATCTAGTAACTGAATCTTTTGAAAAATAAATTTTTTGATGTTTACATGGTTGATTCGGGTGGGAAGGTCAAGGGTTAGAGGAAAGTGGGTGAGACCATTGTTTCCACATTCTTTTTTTCTTCCTGAGGTAAGGGAAGAAGCCTCACCCAGCCTCCCAGCTGCCTTCATACCCGGGGATGGGGGACGGTCACCTGAGGTCATCCCGGGCCCCTGATGTGGGGCGTGTTCTGAGGGTCCTACTCAAGTGATTTTCAGAGTTCAGCAGTTCTGAAATGCTGTCCGTCTCACCACTCCAAGCACGATGAAATCCCTCCTGGATCTATGGCTGACGTAGTCCACCTTAGAGCCTCCATTTGCCCAGATACTCACTGCCAGCACTTGGCTGGGGGAGTTGATCCATTTGCTCTGTCCTCTCACGGTAGCAGGTGTCCTGTACGGGCTCCAATGGCTCCCATGTCCTCTGTGTGCATCCGCTGTGCTGTTCACTGTTCCATCTGAGCCATGAGGAGGCCCAGCTCTGACACTTAAACGGCATGGTCAGACCATGGAACCTGCAGTTCTCCCCATAGTTGGAGTTGTGAGTCCAGCGGTTCAGCTGGGGGTGATCCCAGGTCTAATTCCTGTGTGTGCATGTCAACACAGGGTCTGGCACAGCCCATCATCAGTGTACGCACACTGTGGATCAGTTCTGTCTCCAGTACAAGCTCCTACACAAACTGATGGTGCTGCAGCCCAGCCAGCCCCACTAGCCAGCCCATACTGGTACCAGCGGGTGCCACACTCTGTCTAGCCTGCTCCACCCTCAGCCCTGGTTCTCATGCTCACCAGTAGGAATGGCAACCCGAGAGCGATGCCCAGTTTCCCTGGTGAGCCCACTCCCACTCCCAGATCTTGCACTCTCCAAGTGATTCTGCAGTTCAGCTTGACAGAATTTGCCCCCAGTGCCCGCATGTGCCAGCTGATACTGCAGCAGAGCCCTAGCCATCCTGCACCTCTTGCTTATGTATGCACAGTGGGTATAGTCAGCCCAGCCTGGTTTTACCCTATCCCAGCTCACATGTGCGCCAACAGGTGTTGCAGCCTGGTCTTCCCCTGATCCCAGCTCTCATGGTGACCAGTGGGAGCAATGGCCCAGCAGGGGAGCCCCCACAGCCTCCTTCCTGGGTCCTGTCCTCTCCCCACCCCAGGTCCCACGTGTGCTGGTTGGGTGCTGCCACTCAGTCTGACATGGTCTGCTTCACCTTGGCATTTGCCAGTGGGTGCTATAGCCTGACCAGCACAGCCAGCCCCCACTGTGAACTGGCTGGTATTGCCACCCAACCTGGCTTGTGCCGCACCCCATTCTAGTTCTCAGATCTGCCAGCAGGTGATATGAAGTGGCCACAATGGCCAGAACTGAGACAATCTGAAGCCAGGAGCCAGGTGCTTCTTCTAGGTCTCCCATGCGGGTGCAGGGTCCCCAGGGCTTGGGCTGTCCTTTCCTAGGCCACAGCAGGGACCTGGATGGGAAACATGGCCTCTGGGATACAAACTAGTGCCCATATGGGATCCTGTCGCAAGCAAGGTGAGAACTTTAGCCATTAGGCTACCATACCAGGTCCTACCCCCAACTCTTAAGCTAACCAGTGGGACTTGCAGTTCCACAGGGTTATGCCCACATGTCCCCCACAAAATCTACCCCCAGACCTGTTTCTCTAGCATTTTGGTTAGTGCCATGATCCAGCCTAATGTTACCCATCCCCTATTCTGACACACTGGCCGGTCTTGTGATCTAGCGCTGCCAGACATGCCCCCAGCCCTGGCTTTTGTGTGGGCTGGTGTGTGGTAGTCAGCAGTGTTCCATGCTAACTAGCCCAGCTCAGGTCTCCCCTGTGGGCTGGTGCATCGATCTGACCCATAAAGGTCCTCTGGCCTCTCCCCTCCAAACCGCCAGGTCTCAGTCCCCTAGCTTGCCTGCAAGTACAGTGAGCTTGTCATTGGGAGCCCATCAGGAGTCATTCTTCACCTGCAATGCTCTCCTACAGCAGTCCTCCGTCCCCCATATCCCCTTGCTCCCTTCCCTAATCAATCCACAGTCCTAGTGCCCAGGAGCACGTGGTTCTCCAGCCCAGCCTTCGGAAGCCCAGTGGGTGATGTGCTGGTCCAGAGCTTTGCCCTTTCTCCAAGATCCCAAGCTCCTGGCACATGAGCTGTCCTGATGCCTTACTCCCCCCATACGCCCAAGATCCAGACCCGTTGAAGTATCCAGGCCTGATCCAGCAGCACACCATAGCAGTGTGCCGACCTGGGCTCTCCCCTCTTCTCCTCGCCCAGAATCAAGCACATGGAGAAAGCCTGGGTTCCCTCCAACTGCCTAGGGGTGAGCTCCCATATGCCACCGGTGTTATACCCCTAGCCTTCCCCCTACCTAAGCCCCGTGTCCTCAGGCCCCCACGAGCCAGCACCACTCCCCGGCTGGCTCAGTCGCCCTACCCCCACCAGCTTGGCGTGGGAATAGTAGTTGACCTTGGTTTAAGGTTTGCATTACTCTTCTAATCTGTTGATTATTTTTTGGCTCATGAATGTTGTATTTTCTCTTCTTGAATGTAGAAAATTACCAAAGAAATGGATGACTTCCTACAAAAGTTGAGGCAGAAGATCAAAATCGGAGTGGTCGGCGGCTCAGACTTTGAGAAAGTGCAAGAGCAGTTGGGAACTGATGGTAAATAATGCTTGGTTCATTCTCCTTTGGGCCGAGATGAGTTTCTTAGGAAGATGTTGGGACCTGTCAGCAAGGCTCATCGGCAGCCTCAGCCCACACTTCCTGTAGCGCTGGCTTCCCGCATCATTGTTTGTTCTGCCTTTAGCTCTCCTTTGCTGGCAATCATGTAACTACATTCCTAGGTTGCTGACTGAGCGCTTGGTGTCCTTGTCTGCACGTGGTGATCCTGCTGTGTGGCCCCATGGTTTCTGCTGAGGCCCCACTTCCTGTCACCTCACTCAGGCACAGTTGCCACCTGCCACCACTGTTCCCAGCAGCATGAACAGGGAGCAGGATTGGAGGTGGAGCGGCCAGGAGTTGAACTGATACCAGTATGGGATGCTGGCATTGCAGATGGTAGCCTAACCCCACTATGCCACGATGCCTACTCCCCGCCCCAACCACAACCTTTTTCATTTTTTTCCAACTCCCATTGCCCCTGGACTCCTCATGTGTTGGCACCAGCTCCTTTAGAGCAAAGTTCAGCCTTGGCACTGTTGGCATTTGGGGCCAGATACTTGTGTTTATGCTGGCTTCGTGTGCAATGCAGGGTGTTCAGCAGCATCCCTGGTCTGTACCCGCTAGATGCCAGCCACACGCACAGAGTCCTGAAAATCAGAAATGTCTCCAGACACCAGCTGAGAACTGCTCTTGATGTGGAGCATGACAGATCATTGGATCGTGATTACTGGGAGGGTCATTTCTAGTCCCGTGGGCGCGGGGGGGAGGGAGGGCTTAGTTTTCCTTTCCCTTTCCTGACACCGCTTAGAATTACGGGAAAGGCACAGCGGGGCTCTGGCACTGCTGTGTCTCCCTCTGCTGGTGTGTTTAAGCACACACTGTGTGTGGTTTTGTGTCAGCGTACAGCAGCAGATTCCAGCGCTCCCAGCCTAGAGGCCCACTCGTGCCAGGTTCACCTGGCAGGCTGAGTAGCGCATGGCTGTGGGACCCCACCCATCACAGTGATACGGTCAGGGCACACGGCCCGGGAACCTGCATTTGGGAGCTGGCATGGCTGGCCTCTTTTCAGACCGGCAGGCTACAGGCAGTGGCATGAAGTAAACCACTACCAAGTCTCCAGTTGCCAGCCCAGTCATCCTTCAGATCTGACCAGAGGGCCTTGTTGAATTTTCCCACGATCAGACGAGATCGGGCGCGTTCAGGGTGGTGTGGCCGTAGACCCCTTGTTGAATTTCAAGGGGCTTTTCCCACTCTCCCTGTCTGTTAAGACAGAATAGGCTGTTGTCCATGCTGGAGCCGCGTTACTGATGCTCAGTGTTACTTAGGAAATGGAAGCACAGTGTCGGTTCATCGCATTCTAAGTTTTCAGTTGTTTTTGTTTGTAGTGGTGGAAAAGTATGATTACGTGTTTCCAGAAAATGGCTTGGTGGCGTACAAAGATGGGCAGTTCTTGTGCAAACAGGTGGGTTCTCGAGTGTCGGAGAGGCTGGTAAAGTGTGTGCCGAGAGGGTCTCGGGCAGTGAGCGCTGCTGGGAGGCGGAGTGGGCAGCCAGGCAGGCCTGGGAATGACTCTTCCGTCTGTATTCTTTTGAAAATTGGATGTGATTATACATGTTCCAAGTTGATAACTAAATTTTCAAAAATTTTTAAGGACACTTAAATCTAATGTTTCTGTTACGGCAGAGATTAGGGTCGGCTGCCCACCGGCGAGCTTCAGAGGAACTGTGTGGCTGTGTTAGCAGGAGCTCAGCCCCTTCCTACACATGAGAAAGCCCGAGCGAAGCAGATGTGTCCTCAGCATCTGTAGATATTTTAATTGAATAAAAGCAGCAACTATAAACTCTGTGGGTCTTCCAGGAAGCCTTTGAAAGCTAATGAATGTAAAAACCTTGAGTAATGAAGCAGAAAGTGCTTTTGACTAAAGCTTTTCTGATTTGCTGAGTGTTTTCAACCAGAGGAAAATGAGAAGGAAGTGGTCGGGTCGGTCATCGTCTCCCTGTGTCAGTGTGATGACGTTGGATAGTAGTGGCAGAGGGCCTTAGCTGGCTCTTGTGGAATGTCCCCTGCTAAATCCAGTAACTCCAGTGTTTTCTCTCTTTATCTAGAATATACAAGGTCACCTGGGTGAGGCCCTGGTACAGGATTTAATCAACTACTGTCTGAGCTACATTGCAAAAATTAAGCTCCCGAAGAAGCGGTAAGTTTCCTTGCAGCAGAGGCCGCGCTGGAGTGTGGAGGCGTGTCACGGGGGGGAGGGTGCTGGTGCTCACTCAGAGCTGAAGCCGAGCGCTCGGAGGGAGCACCAGGGACTCGTGTGAAGCCGGCAGTCTGGGAGCGATGGTGTAAGTGGTGGCATGTCCGCGTGATGGGAGGTTGTGTGGAGCCGTCAGGGAAGAGGCTGGAAGCGGAAATGGTGACACTGCAGGGGTGTTGGGCCTGTGTCCCTTGTTTGGGTGCCTGGGTTCAGCTCCCAGCTTCCAATTCCATGCTGCTGCACATCTTAGTAGGCAGCAGGTGATGCTGCCTAGGTCGTTGAGGGCCTTCTGGAGTGAGCTACCAAACAGAATATTCCTCTCTTTTCCTCCTCCCTCCCTCTCTCCTTCCCTCCCTCCCCCCTTCTCTCCTTCCCTCCCTCCCCTCTTCTCTCCTTCCCTCCCTCCCCTCTTCTCTCCTTCCCTCTCTCCCCCCTTCTCTCCTTCCCTCCCTCCCCCCTTCTCTCCTTCCCTCCCTCCCCTCTTCTCTCCTTCCCTCCCTCCCCCCTTCTCTCCTTCCCTCCCTCCCCCCTTCTCTCCTTCCCTCCCTCCCCTCTTCTCTCCTTCCCTCCCTCCCCTCTTCTCTCCTTCCCTCCTCCCCCTTCTCTCCTTCCCTCCCTCCCCTCTTCTCTCCTTCCCTCCCTCCCCTCTTCTCTCCTTCCCTCCCTCCCCTCTTCTCTCCTTCCCTCTCTCCCCCCTTCTCTCCTTCCCTCCCTCCCCTCTTCTCTCCTCCCTCCCTCCCCGTTCCTCCCTCTCTCTTTCTCTCTCCCTCTCTGCCTTGCAAATAAATAAATAAAAAGAAGGAAAAAGAGGCCCCAGATCAATACCACCAAAGCTGGAGGCCCCCAGGACAGATCCCAGGCCGAGCCAAATCAGGTGGCTCGGAGTGTCCGGGAGACTGCGGGCCGCCGTCCTCTGGAGTCAGACTCGCATTCTCAGGAGCGTCTGAGCCGAGGGCCGGGGGCAGCCCTGATAACCTGGCTGGCGGGCCCTCTGTCCTGGCCGCGGCCGTGGAAAATAATAGGAATGTACTTAAAAAAAAAAAAAAGAAAAAGGAGGCAGGAAATGGAGCTGTGTGCTAGCAGTGACTGTTGCTTGGTGGGGAGACTTCAGCTGTTTGCTTTCTAATGTTTTTCCTTCTCTTCCCCCTTTGCAATGCTATCCTGTAACATTTCCCAAGCGCTGAATGAATCTCAGGGCCACCTCAGTCCTTTAGAATCCTAAGCACAGGCCTTCCGCTCGGGCTCTGAGCCAGAGTGCAGGAGCCTCCTGGGTGTGCCGCCAGAAGGGAGGAGGGAGGAGAGACCTGGGAGAGACCTGGGCCATGGGCGTGTGAGGTTCTTACCCTGTCCGGTTTGTGATAGAATTTCTCCACAGGGGAAAGCTAACACATGCATGTGGCCCAGCTCAGCTATTTCAGCTTCTTTTTGGGCCAAGCATTAAGTGAAAATAAACAGTTTTCTGAAGCAGAGTGCTCGGGCCTGGCACGATAGCCTAGTGGGTAAATCCTTGCCTTGCACACGTCAGGATCCCATATGGGTGCTGGTTCATGTCCTGGCTGCTCTGCTTCCCATCCAGCTCCCTGCCTGTGGCCTGGGAAAGCAATCGAGGATGGCCCAAAGCCTTGGAACCCTGCACCTGCATGGGAGACCCAGAGGAAGCTCCTGGCTCCTGGCTTTTGGATTGGCTCAGCACTGGCTGTTGTGGTCACTTGGGGAGTGAATCATCAGATGGAAGATCTTCCTCTCTGTCTCTCCTCCTATCTGTATATCTGACTTTGCAATAAAAATGAATAAATCTTTAAAAAAATACTATTTTAAAGATTTTGTTTATTTGATATTGAAAATTACAGAACCAGAAGAAGGGACAGAGAGAGACATTTTCTATCTTCTGGTTCATTCCCCGAGTGACTGTATTGATGAGCTGGTCCAGGCCAGAGCCAGGAGCCTGGAACTCCACATGGGTCTCCCGGGACCTGCGGACTTAAGCCATTCTCTGCTGCTTCTCCAGGCACATCAGCAAGGAGCTGGATTGCAGGTGGAGCAGCTGGGCCTGACACTTAGCCATGCTGCTGTGAGATGCTGGTGTTCTAAGCAGTGACTTAGCCTGCCACATGCCGACCCCTGTGGAAATGTCATGGGTGGGCGCCACACTCCTTTTTCCCTACTTTGAAATCTAGTCTCAGTTGGGACTGACCACAGTTCAAGGCTGCATTGTCTCATGTTGCCTGTGACTGCTGTGTTCATCGCTCAGCTCCAGGAAACATCACCCCGGCCTGCGCTCTGCAGGACACCCAGCTTTTTGGCCTGTCAGCCCATCTTAAGATTTTCCCAAGTAATTCCTGTGTCTCAGGGAACCTTGGTCCCCCTTTTCCTCCCAGAGGTACCTTCATCGAGTTCCGGAATGGCATGCTCAACGTGTCCCCCGTGGGAAGGAGCTGCAGCCAGGAGGAACGCCTCGAGTTCTTTGAACTCGACAAAGTGAGTCTGGTGGAACGTCTGGGGAAATGGCTTAGTTGCGCAGCTTTGTGGCCAGTGTTTAGTGTGCCTCCCCAACTGCAGGGCCACGGACAATTGGTGTTTTCTTGTTTTTCTCAGAAAGAAAACATAAGACAAAAATTTGTAGCAGATCTACGGAAAGAATTTGCAGGAAAAGGCCTCACGTTTTCCATAGGTATTGTATATCCAAATGTCCAAACATTGATCCCCAGTGGCCAGAGCTTGTGGGCTGTTGAGCTATAGACCCTGGGCCGTGTCCCGGTCACGGTGGACAGGAAGGTGAGAGCGGTCCCGCCTGGGGAGGAACGCCAGCCGCTGACTGCACAGCATTTGCCACTATGGGACTCACCTGATCAGGAACTGGCTTCCAGACTGCCGGGTTTGTGCAGCTCCTCAGCCGCAGGCTCTTCCTGCCTGCACTTCTCCCGCGAAGAAGAGAAGCATCCTGGTGACGGAGGAAGAACAAGAAGCCGTCCTCAAGTCTCAGTGTGGGCGAGACCTGCCACGGTGCACCCTGGGAGGCCGAGATGGCGTGTGTGCAGCGCTGGCAGGTTTCTGCAGTGAGGAGATTGGGCAGGCGGTGGCTTTTAATCAGAAAGTCCAAGCCCCAAAAGGAGAAGCAGCTTGTCGAGGTTGACGGAGGGTTTTGATCTAGCCCGGGAAAGCACGCATGTGGACGTTGCTGGCATGTGAGGTCTCAGGCTTGGCTTGGTAGAATGCGCCTGGGAAATCCTGCAGGCAACCTGGCCTGCCCATCCTCACTGAGGAGACCTGACTCCAGGCCCTGTCGCTTTACAAGCTGCAGTAAGTGGGTTGTACACAAATTGAATTTGCAAAGGAATTATGTTTGGTAGAACAGGTGGATTTTAAGCATTCCTGAGCTGTGAGATGGATGTCTTTCTGACGAGGTTTGGAAAGATCTTGTTGCCCGTGAACGCTGCCTGTAAATGCACTTCCATGTACCTTCCCCATTTCCTGCCAGACAGACAGGAGGTGCAGCCTGCCTCGGCGTTTCCCACTGAGCTGCTCCGTGCTCCCCGGGAGCACACTTACCTGGTGGAGCACTCACATGCTAGGACATTTCTCATTCTGGGTTGGTATTCTGGATCTGTTTTCAGACCCAGGTGAAAATTGTGTTGGAAAAGGGCATTACGTAAAATTAATTTTTAGAACCTTTCCTTAAAGTAACTGGTGTAAGTAGCAGCAGACTTGAATGTGAAAAATCCACCTTGGCAATCCGGCTGCGGAAGGAGCACCTTGCAGTATGCTGTCAGTGAGTGTCGCCTTGAGCTTTTGTGTGTTTTCTCCCAACCCTGCAGGGGGCCAGATCAGTTTTGATGTCTTTCCTGACGGATGGGACAAGAGGTACTGCCTGAGACATGTGGAGAACGATGGTTACAAGACCATTTATTTCTTCGGAGACAAAACCATGCCCGTAAGTACAAAACGGGTTTGCCGTGTTCATTGTTCACTCTGGCCTTGAAGGGGGAACGCTGACAGACGGACTGTCCTTCCTGCGCATCCATCTTTTGCCCTCTGGCCTGGTTCCAGCTGAGTGCTGGCCTGTCACAGGGAGGCGTGTGACTAGGTCCACTGCTGCTCCCCTCCCCCCATTTGAAAGTACCTTCTCCTAGGGTTATCTGCCTAAAATTGTGGCTGTGAAGTCTGCTCTTTTTATATTGATAAAAGTTAAAAAACAAATACCGTCCAGAACACCAGTGCTGTGAGCAAACCTTGCTGGCTTTCAGAGCCCTTGCTGGCTTCTCCTGTTGCACTGGAGGCATCTGTGGTAAGCTGAGCCCAGGAGTCCCGAATGACAGCAGGAACAGGGGTTTCTCAGCCCCGACAGTCCTGAGCCATCACTTTCTCCGTCTCCCTCTCTGTCTCTGTGTTCCCCCTCCCCCACCTCCCATCCCCCAGCCAGGAGCAGCCCCTGGTCTGGGAGGAGGGACAAGGTTAGAACTTCCTCACCTGGAAGTAAATCTAAGATGGAACATGAGAGGGTCTAGTGCTGAAGAGCCAGGGCAGAGGAGAGATGCAAGACACTTCCCCGGCACCACCTGAGGCTCTTCCTGGACAGCGCCCCATCACACGGGGTGCTGTGTGTGATGCTGAGGGCTTCCAGCTGTACGACTCCAGCCATCTTCCTTCACGTTCCTCTGCATCCTCCCCTCCCCGCAGCGTTGGCTACCTGCCATCCAGAGCCGAGTTTCAGGCTTTCAGGGCACCCTGGGTAACAGGTCTGTCACAGCCACTGCACGCAGAGCTTCTCCCCCTCCCCACCCCGAGATCCTAGAAGAGAAGCTGGGAGAAAAGCTTCCTGACACTGATCTCAGCAGTGGATTGTTGGACGGGAGCCGGAGGAGCAGTGGACTGCACAGGACTTGAAAACTCACTGAGTATCTCAAGTAGATAACGTGACTGCAGGGTGAGCAGTGGGCTTGAGTAGAGTTCTCCAAAGACGTGACCAGCAAGGGCATGGAGTGAGGCTTAACAGACCTCATTGAACAGGGAAATGAAAGTGCAAATGACAGTGTGAAATGTGCAAAGGTTCCTCAAGAACCTCAGCAGAACGGCCCGAGGCCCTGCAGCCCCTCTACTCCCGGGCCTGGCTGGGGAGTGACTGACTGCAGGCTGTCCCCAGTGACAGGGAGGAAGGGCGGAGGACCACGTGAGTGCTGCCTTTGAAAGAGTCACGATTTGACTTTCTTTTTTTTTTAAGGGAGATTTACTTATCTTATTTATCTATCTATTAAAACTAAAGAAAGAGGGCTCTTCCATCCATTGGTTCACTGCCTAAGTGTCCTCTGTGGCAGAGGCCTGACTGGGATCCTGGAATGCCAGCACGGGTGGCAGGGGCCCACACATGTATCTGCTGCTTTCCCGAGTGCGTTAGCAGGGAGCAGATTGGGAACAGAGCAGCTGGGACTGGAGCCAGTGCTCATGTGGTGTGCCGGCATCGTGGGCAGCAGCGTAACGAAGATGCGATAGTGCTGGCCCCTCTGTCTCACTTTAAGGAAAACAAACAAACTGAAAAGCTAATGAAATTGCAGCCAGGTTCTAAGGAGTGCCTGGAAGCTTTCTCAGTCTCTCCAGCCCAGCCCTTTATGACAGACAAGAGAGCTTTAGGATGCGATACCGGAGTTTCCTGCTTGCCATGTGTGAAGAGTTTCTAGAAGCCTCAGTCTGAGCTTTGCAGAATGGAATGTAGCTCTTGAGCAATCAGAAAATGACTTACTTGCAATTGGAAATTAAAGTATTTTGTTTCATCCATTGCATAACAATGCATTCATTCTATTTTTTAAACTGTTAACCTCTTCTAAAAAATGTATACTGCTTAATGAACATTTTCTCCCCCATTTAATACATGCTCATTGTGGAAAATGAGAAACAGGGATGGGTGTCCGGTCTGGTGGCTGTGGTGCAGCTTGGGGACACCCTCATCCCCTGTTGGGTGACAGGTTCATGTCTCAACTCTGCCCCATTCCAGCTTCCTGCAGGGCCAGTCCTCAGAGGCAGAGGGGCGTGGCTCAAGTACTTGTCCCTGCCACCCCCTCGGGAAGCCTGCGTGGAGTCGCTAGCCCCCAGCTTGGGCCTTGCTCAGCAGAAGCCGCTAAAGGCATTTGGGAGTAAGCAAGGAGGTAGATGTCTGTCAGTTTCTCTGCCTTTCAAATACATTTTTTATGAGGAGAAATTAAACGGTGTGGAGAGAGAGTCCCCTGTGATCGCAGCTCATCACTGACCCCCTCCCTGCCATTTCCTTCTCTCGATCCCAGCAGTGGGATCTTGGCATGTCACTTTGTTTTTTAGCTTTGTTCTCTTACCATTTTGTTTTTCCTGTATTATTGGCTATTCTTTGAAAATAGGTTTTTCGCGTGGGCAGCCGCCCCTTCCCCTGGCAGAGGCTCCTGGCGGGTGGAGAGTTGTGTGCTGTCAGGGTGCTGCAGTGAGCAGTGCTGGCTCCTAGAAAGGGGACTTAACTGTCCCACCAGGTAAACCCTGAAGCATCTTTGTTAGCTCTTGAAGCTCCATGCACACAACAGCCCACGCATTAGCTCTGAATATTAGATGACAGATGTTTAGAAACCAGCTTTCTGTCTTTCGAGGTGAAGCTGATGTTTTGGCCAGCTTTGGAGAGAAGCACCTGAACTCAGAGTTGCTACGGCCTCTGCTCCCCCACAGCATAGCCCTGCGCTGGCAGGACCTGGCGTGACATGAAGGTGCCCTGTGTTTTGAGCAGCTCAGACAGGGTGAACAAAGAACGTGCTGGTACTCGCTTTTCAATCCCAGAAACGCCCTCACCCCTACTTCCCGACAGGCACAACAACCTGTGTTCCTTAAACACTGGCTCAGTTCCTCGGGGGAGCACAGGCCCAACCCCGAGCACTGCAGTGCACAGGGGGAGTGCTGTTGAGGGAGACCCCCGTGGGGGGGGTCAGGTCCCTGCTGGCTAACCTGCTGGCAGGACACCTGCCTCCGACAGCTCAGGAGCCTTAGCCTCTTAGGGATTTCTGAATCATCGTCTGCACGTCTGGTAACTTAACTAGCCACCATTTGGACGTGTGTGAAATGATGCTAAAGGTTGGGGACAGCCTGCCACGCCTCAGGAGGAGCCTGGCAGTATCCTCTGGGGCCTGTCTGAGGGGACAGCTGAGAGCAGGGGCCCCAAGCACTCGGGCCTGCCTTGCTACTTTGCCAGCGGCATTAGCAGGGAGCTGGATCAGAAGTGAGCAGCTGAGACTCAAACGGGTGCCCATTTAAGATGCCAGTGCTGTAGGCAGCAGCTTTACCTGCCACACCACAGCGCCAGCCCCCCTCTTAGATTTTGAAATGTGAGAATGTGATATCGAAAAAGAAATGTTTAGTAGTTTTTCTTATTTCATTTGCTTGGAAGACAGATCTTCCTTCTGCTGATTCACTCCCTGAATTCCTGCAGAAGTCGGAGCTGCCTCAGGTGAAGGCTGGAGCCTGGAACCCCCTCTGGGTCTCCCATGGGCAGCAGGGTCCCACGTATCTCAGTCAGCACCTGCTACCTCCACAGTCACATCAGCAGGAGGGCGAGTGGAGCTGGGGCTGGAATGCCAGGCATCCCAGCATGGATGCCAGTCCAAGAGGCATCTTAGCCCTCAGGCCAGATGCTTAGCCCAAGCTTTATTTAAGAGGCAGAGCTAGAAAAGTTTAAAATGTCATGTTGAGGAAAAGGAGAGAACGAAAGCTTTAAGCACTCGAGTGGGAGGTAGGGCGCCTGGGTCAGGCGGGGTCCTCCTCACCCCGAAGAGCCAGTCAGCCAGGGAGCCGGCATTGGAACCCCCGGTCATTCTCCCACACCCTCAGCACAGGCACCCACTTCCTTCTCGTTTGCATGGGTGACATTTGCTAGTGCCCACGTGCCAAAGAGGAGGCTTTTTGAGTAAGGTTGGCCTAAGCAGGCCTGGAGTGACCTGGTGTCTCAGAGACATTGAGAGGCCAAGATAACCCCGATGTGACCCCGCTGTTCGCCTCCACGGTGACCACACACAAGTCCAGCAGCCCAGTGGGGACACTTCCTCCTTTACAGGAGCTGTGCGCAGATTAAGTGGTCACAAAGTTGGTAACCAAGTCAGGCTGAGGGAAGACTGCGCGATGCGTGCTGGGCGGGGCCCGTCTGTGATGGGGGTGTTTCAGTGTTGGGCTGCCCAGGCCAGTGAGTAAGTCACAGTCACGGTGTGAGCGAAACGTGTCCTGGCTCCAAGTCCCTAGCCAGGCCTTGGGCAGGCCTTGGCCTTCATGACCCTAGACTTGGTATGTCTAGTGTCACAGCCCTGTCAAGACTCCTCAAGTCCAGCATGGCCCGGAACGTGCTGTCTGGACAGACGTGCTGGCACAGAATGCTGAGATGAGGCCTTCCTGCGGAGCTTGGGCTAACGTGAGGAGGTACATCCTGTGCTCCCAGAGCTTCCTTGGGCAGATCGCTGCTGTCTGGAGTTCTGTACAGCAGAAGAGCAGCTCTGGCCCAGCTGAAATGTCCCGGCCTGCCTTCGTCCTGACACCAGAGTCCATGGCCACACTGGCCCCAGATGTGCAGACTTGTCCCCTCTGCCGTCTTGTATTCCTAGGCTGAGCTGGGGCCTTTGTTGTGGGGGCTGCTCAGGAGCACTGTTGCAGCCATGTTTTCTCTGAGTTTGGGGTAGTTGAACCTGCCCAGCCTGAATTCAGTAAGCTTTGGTGCCTGTGCCAACCCAGTGATCGCGGTTCCCAGTTCCCTGCCACCATCCACTAGCTCAGCCTTGGGGTTCCACTTCTTTTAACCTCATACCTATTTCTGTGAGCAAGCTTGACCACACCCACACTGAGTCAGGAGGAAGGAAGCAGGTCTCTTGGGGAGAGAAAGCAAGGGTTGAGGTTGGTGGAGGTTGAGTCGCAAGGCCTCTGACAGCCAGCGGAGCTGGGCCGGCCATAACCAAGGCCCTGGAACCTGACTCCTTGCTGGCCATGTCTGGATTCTCCAGGTCCACTTTATCGGTGTCAGGTGATGCAGTACTCCCCTCTGTCCCACACAGACCCGGCCCCTCCCGACAGCCTCTCCGGGAGGGGGAGACTAGGGTGACGGCTTCCAGCTGTTCCTGTGCACACCCCACCTCCCCTGTTCTCCAGTCCTAGCCCATGAGGTCCCCACAAACAGCTGCGTCTTGCGGGTGGACTGTTGTGACTGAAGTGAGAGCATGGGTTCTCCTGGCTCAGTCGGTTAGGAGGCTGTCAGACTCCTCACTGGGTCACCTGTTCTGATGGGGCTTCAAATTCTGTGCTCGATAGGAAAAATCCATCTTGTCTTCTTGAGGGCTTCCAGAAAGGTCCAGGGTGCCCAGGTGGTACATGGGAGTCAGGGACTCCAGGACAGACCCAGTTGCGTGACCCTGCGTGTGTCCAGGTGCCTTGGACACAGCCCTGGCCCAGGCTGCTGTGCAGCTCTTGCTTTGCTGTCTTGCCCAGGCTTAGCCCTGGAGGCGTCTGGGTAAGCAGTGCATGATCATGCCCTGGGAGGCACTCCTGCTGACCTGGGCTGACGGCTTCCCGGGGGCCCCCTTTGCATCATCGCTGTAACTTCCCACTGGAGACTTCTGAGTGAGGTTTCGCTGTAACCCCACTTCAGAGGCAAGCCTCTGACACCCTGGTCGCTGGCCGACCCAGCACCCAGCCCCGGCTGCCCAGTGCAGACCCTGCTCCTGACCAAAATCCCAGAAATGCAACAGGCCAGCTCCTGCAGCACACCAGCACCTCTATGGGCACCACAGGTGGCCTGGGGCTGCTGTCAGCAGTGACAACAGCCCTGCCCATCAGCAGAGAAAGTTCCATGGACCGTCCTGCTCCCAGTTGCCAGCCCTGCCAGTATCCCCTCGTGATGTTAGGAAAGTTCAGACACAGCTAAAACAAATTGATGGATGGCTGTAAAAAGCCTGTCACTTGCCATGCCTGCTTGCTTTAGAGAAGACAGCCTCCAGTCGTCATGGGAGCATCGTGACTCCGTTCAGAGCGTAATTACATGTTCCAAGCTAAACTGCAGTTCAGGGCAAGGTTATGAACACTCCTGCACTGAAGAGTGTGCTCGGGCTGCTCCTCTCCCCGCAGCCAAGGGAAAGGTGACAGGCAGCAGCCCGCCCCACGACATCTTGGCTCCAGGGCCCGGGACAGAGGTGGTGGAGCTGCATCTGGGCCTTGTTTCTCCACAGGGAGGCAATGACCACGAGATCTTCACAGACCCGAGAACTGTGGGCTACACCGTGACAGCACCTGAGGACACACGCCGGATCTGCCAGGAGCTCTTCTGACATGGACAGGAGGGGGTTCCCAGCCTGCCGGTCACTCACTGCCGGCCGCATCCACCTTTAGCCTGGCTGTCCAGTCGTGCACACAGGGGACGACTGCCTCCACCTCCAAGGGCAAGGAGCTCACTGGAGTGGCTGCAGGAACCATCCCCACAGCAGGCTCTACCGACCCCGACCTTTACCCGAGACCCGCCTGACAAGCTGAGTCACAGCACAAACGGTTATGTCCCGTCAGTCCAGAGGAGCACAGGAAGACCCTCCCTCCTGGACACTGACAGGCGCTCAGGATTGGACCCCTGTGGAGACCCCAGGAAGGAGGGGTGGTGATGGGAAAGGATGTCTGCCCTGAGCAGTCTTAAGCATACTTCCCAAAACAGCTCCCTCCTGAGACTGAACGTGGTTGCGGGTGGATTGAGCCAAATGACTGAATCCCCCCTTCGTGGTCTCCAACCACTTCCTGTTTGTGAGACACACGGCTCAGCACAGCCTGCCTGACGGGGGCCAGGTGGCAGCTGACCCCAAGGAGTTAGCATCTCAGCTGGCCTAGTACTGGGGTTGGTTCTGTGCGTTGCCCTAGGGTTACTTTTCCACAGGCCCTGGTGCAACCGCCCCTTGGTGGCTGGCTGAGCCCTGTGCTGTCAGGAGCCCCCAGAGGCAGGATCAGCACTGCTCTCTCAGGGCCTGGGGCAGTCTGGGTAGTGACGGCCAAGGAGCAGCCTTCCTCCACGGGTGACCTCACAGGCCCTGGCCTGGCCTGACTGCAGGGTGGGCACAGCTGCAGCGGGACCTGGGTGCTCTGCACCCTTCCGTGTGCTACAAGTCCTCTGTGAAGCTAGAATGGATCCAGAACACAGCGCAAGAGTGTTTCCTGAGAACGGTTGTCACTTCGGGCTCTGGCAGTGCTGGGACATCGATCCTGAGATCCGTGGCGTCTGCAGAGTGATGGGCTGGGCTGCATGCAGCTGCTGGAGCACAGGTGAGCCTTGTTCCTGCCAGCCCTCCTGCCCCCCAGTGCTTGGCCTGCGATCAGGCTGGCGAGAGAGAAGCTGCTATGGACCCTGCCCCTTCACCACCCGCTGGCTGGTCTCCGTGAGTCCCAGGATGTGACCATCCGTTGGTGGCCTGTACCCGTTGAACTTGGCAGATACTGTAATGGCCTTTCAAATAGAAATCACAGCACATTAAAGTGGCTCTGGTGTTGGTCCTCCGCCCAGTGACTTCCTCCTGAGCCCCTCGGTAGTGAAGGCGCAGTGGCTTGCCTTGTCAGCTTCTGGGAGGAAACCCCACTCCTCTTCCTTGCCCTGGGATTCCTGTCAGAGTGTGTGTGGTGCTGCAGTCTCTTCCCGGCCCACTGGGTCAGGCCCCGCTATTCCCTCCAAGTTTCCAAACATTCATTGCAACAGCACATGTCCGTAGGGCTGCGTGCCATGTGCCTGATGCCAGTGGGCCTAGCTCACTAAGCCTCCCAATTCCCAGGGGCTGTTTCACACTCTGCAACACCTCCCATTCCCTTAGGATTCCTGCCTCCCCTCTGCTGTCAGAACTTCCCCAGCTGTCGCCTTTCCTTCCGGGTGTTCCCAGCTAACGGCACAGCAGAGCAGCCACTCACTGTCTAAGCTGCCCATGTCCCATGTTGGGGTCAAGTTCTGGCTCCTGCCGGGCTGGCCAATGGAGGTGACACATGTGGCCAAGGTGCTGTGGCCCAGCTGGACTGAATTGCAGACTCCTGACACTCAAACTTGGCCCAGCCCTTGTTGGTGCAGGGATTGAGCCAAGGAAAGCTCTCTGTTCCTCTGCCTCTAAATAAAAGGTTTTTTAAGATTGATTTTTGCGGGCCCAGTGCGGTGGCCCAGTGGCTAAAGTCCTCGCTTTGAATGCGCCAGGATCCCATATAGGTGCCGATTCTAATCCTGGTGGCCCTGCTTCCCATGCAGCTCCCTGCTTGTGGCCTGGGAAAGCAGTTGAGGACGGCCCAAAGCCTTGGGACCCTGCACCCATGGCTTCAGATTGGGGTAACACCGGCCGTTGCGCTCACTTGGGGAGTGAATCATCAGAAGGAAGATCTTCCTGTCTCTCCTCTCCTCTTTGCAATAAAAATAAATAAATCTTTAAAAAAAAAAATTTTTTTTGGCTCTGAAAGGCAGAGTTTGAGAGGTACTCTGTCTGCCGACTCCCTCCCCAAATGGCCACAACAGCCAGAGCTGGGCTGGAACAGGAGCCCAAGGACTTGGGCCTCCTCTGCTGCTTTCCCAGGAGCGTGAGGGAGCTGGCTGGGAAGTGGAGCAGGCGGGGGCTTAGCCCTCTACACTGAGGCACTGGCCCCAGATGGAATGAGTGCTCAGCAGTGGCTCCCAGAGCAGCTGTTTCTGACGGGGCAGTAGGGCTGCCATCCCACGTGCTGCGAGACTAGGGACCAGTTCAGCCTCCGTCTTGTGTTACTGCGCATGTCCCATAGCACAGATGTCATTTCAGTAAGCAGCCTCTGTGAGCGGTTAGTCATGTCACCCCGAGCTGGGAGGTGGGGAGTCATCCTGGTGCCTTGGGGAGCAGCAGGACAAAGACATCACTGACAGTCTCTTACAGGAACAGGAAGTGTTGAGCAAGAGGAAAGTAAGCTGGCCCAAGGCCGGCCTGGGGCTAAGATACTACCGTCCACCCCTCCCCCGCGCCCCCCAGACAGTTGACACTGGACTTAGGTCACGTGGGACTTACCACGCTCCGGACACTTAGCAGTGCAGGCCAGCCAGGCTCCCTGGAGGGCAGGCGGCCAGCCAGGCAGGCTCTTAGAGACCCTGGTGAGGAGGCTGAGCCAATGCCGGAGCCGCAGGTGGGGAGCGTCAGCAGGAGCAGGGTGAGCAGGGCAGAGGTGGTGTCAGCCACCCGAGCCTTGAATCACTTCCTCTCCTCAATCCCCCACCTCAAAATGCCCCCATCAGGCCAACCCAGTCCAGGCCATACATCTGCCCCCTCTTCCTCCAGCCCCCCGAAATCAAGTCCTGGAACTCATCCCAATCCCCCTTGGCTAGACCCCAACTGTAACACTTGGTGTCCTAAGTTCAGCCTCCATTCCTTTGAGCTAAATGGCTGCTCTGACCTCTGCCTCAACAGGCTCATGAGCTGGCTCAGTTCTCCCAGCCCACCATGGGAAAACTACCAACAAAAACCCATCTGCATAGCCGTGAGCCCCCGTCCCTGCAAGACGCTGCCTGGGGCACAGCCTTCCCCTACAGGCATGGGGCCCTTCCCCACTGCTCTCCTGGGAGGAGGCGAGGTGGGGTGCACCTCCTGCCATCAGTGAGGGCCTGCTCCCCCCAGAGCCAGTTCCCATGGCCCTGCTGTGGCACATGGGTGCCCATTCTAGTGCCTTCCTGCTAGTTCCCTGGGCCCAGGGGGTGTGGACAGCCTCATCTGTGTGAAGCCCTCACTGGTGCCTGGATGGCTGAGATGGGAGTGGGTGAGGGTGGCTGGCAGTGTGGACCTCAGGGGAGCCACATTCCACTGCTAAGTCCACTTCAGCCAACGGGAAGGGGCGAACAGAATGTGCGTCCCAGAGGTCACAGCCGCCCCTGCTCTACAGCTCACAGGACACAGGGCGCCTAGCACAGACAGTACTTTATTCAGAGAAAGGGCCTGATTAGGGAGCCCTGGATTCTAGTCCCATCTTGGCCACTAACACCCTTTGTCCCCCTCAAGCCCCAAGGAGTTGCTCCAGCTGACAGAGGCTCCCTTCCGGCTCTGACAGCCTAAAGTTCTAGAATGCTCATCGACCGTAAATGATGTGCTCACACAGGAGGCTCCAAGCCAGAGCTGTTAACAAAAGACTTGCTGCACCAGAGAATCCAAAGGTCACCCCACCTCTCGCCCAACTCCCGGTTGGGCAGTACCTGCTGGAACCTGGGCAGCCCACAGGGCGGGCACCAAGGCAAGGGCAAGGCCTCAGAGAATCCCGGGAGCTCTCCGGTGCCTCACAAAAGCAGCTTCGGAAGCCAGTGTCTTCCCAGCACGGAGGCCCCTGCGAGCCACCTGGAGAGCTGGGGACAGACCCGGGAGGGAGAGGACACCTCTGACCCAGTAGAGCAGAGGGGGGAGGGGTACCCCCCTCCCGGGGGCATAGCGAGTCAGGAAGGAACCCAGACGTTGCACCCCTGCAGTCGGCACGCTGGCAGACCACTCAGCACCAGCCTCAGCACCCATGGCTGCAGCCCTGCCCCCCGAGACCTGGCCTGGCCAGTCTCCCTGCACTGCCTGCCCCTGCCTTTCAGCCGGGCCGACACAGACTCCTGACAGCCACTGACATCCAATCGCCCAGCTACCTGTCAACGCCAGCAGGCCCCAGCAAGACACCGCGGGCAGCCTGGGCATTCGGTTACCAGTGTTAGTTCACAGTGCAGGCAGCGAAGTGCAAACCGGACTGGTTCAGGGTGGCAGCTCCAGTTCCCCTCCCCATCTCCAGGCACAGCTCTAACCTGCTTTTAAAGAAAGGCCCACCCAAAGGCTTTCCAGGCGGCCGAGACCCAGAGGGCTTGGTGACACTCAGCCAGTTCCAAGATGGGCAAAGAAGTTGACACAGCCCCCCACCCCCAAGGAGTTGGTATCCTGCCCCAAGCAGCAGGGGGTCAGAGCTCCTGAACAAACTGTCCTCCCCAGAAAGGCCATTCCTTCAGGTCCAAAGCAGCACCCACCCCAACTCCAGCGCCACTCCAACTCGGCTGAGAACTGGGGCCGCTCTGTCCGTGTGGTAGGAGCAGGGCGCCAAGCAGGTGGGATGCATGCCATGCCCCCCTCCCCTGGGGTGGGCCACACACTGGGGACTGTGAGCCTCGGCCTCAGGGTGGGAGGCCCACCTGGCTCCCTGGACGACCCTCTCACAGCCACCAGCGGGGCGCCTCTCCTTTTTAAATGCTTTTAATACTTTTCAGATGGTGAGAGGTTGTTGTGATGGTCAAAGGCTGTGCTGGTGGCGGGGGAGGGGAGGCTCCCTTGTGGCCCCAGTTCCTCCAGGAGGAACTTGTTAGGACCACACCCTCCTCCAGCCCCAGCCTGGGCAGCAGTGTTGTTCCCGGCATGGTCCTACTGCCCCAAAGTCTCCCACCAGCCCAGGAGAGGTGTGCGGTGGGCGTCTCCTAGGAGCTGACCACGTGCCCAGACCAGGTCTCGTGTTTGGTGCCCGGAGCCAGGTGGGTGATGACGACCTCCACGGCCTGCAGCTTCTCGTTCTTGGGGGGGATGGAGCACATCTTGTAGGTGACTTCGTCGCCTTCCACGGGGACGTACTCGCCCTCCACACTGGGTGAGGCACAGGAGAGGAAGGAATTAGCACCCCCACCAAGAAAAGCCCCTCCAGCTCCGGACCCCAACACCAGGGGCCAGCTCTGCCCAGAAGGGGCACCAGGAGCTGCCCCCTCACCTCAGTGCTGCTGGGGGGGCGCTCTTCCTGGGACCTGTGATGCGTGGGCATGTGCATGGTGTGGGTGGGGACAGGCCGTTGGGCTGCAGCAGACCAAGCACAGGAGTGGGCAGATGGCCCAGCAAGCTGCTCTGGAGCTGCTCACACACAGCCCCTGGTGCCACAGTGCCAGCTGCGGAGCTGGTCTCAGCCCTCGGCCTTCCCAGACCTCTCCTCTGCCGCTGCTAGCCAGTTCATGAGCTGCATCACACAGCAAACTGTGCTACGGGATGGCCCTGGAGGCCTCAGGGAAAGCCCTGCCGTCTCTGAGCCCCGAGGCCGGCCACTCCCAGACGACTTGTGCAGCATGTACAACCTCAGTGCAGGTCACATTTCCTTCTCTGATTTGATCACCGGGAAGCCCCAACTGGCAGCCCACTTGTCTGCCAACCCACCCCCAGTGGTTTTCCTTACTAGCTTACTTTCCTATCTCTGTCATTTGCCACAGGTTCTTTCCAGGAAGCAGATGTGTGGGAATGCTCTTCATGCACATTTGTGCCACGTGTGTGGGATACACATCTTTGTATCTTTGTCATGGCAGGGGAGAGGACAGGGAGGAGGGCACACAGGTGGATGTGGCCAGCACTATGGGCCTGCCACTTGGCCTGTTTGAAATGAGGTTAGGGGTGCTTAGGCCAAAGAATAGGGTCAGCCCCAGGGTCGGGGAGGGTGCAGGTACAGGGTCCTCACGCAGCCCGGAGGTGGGGCAGAGGCTCCCTGGTGGCCACCAGACACTCCGGAAGGACGTCAACGGCTGGAGGCAGCAGGAAGGATCCAGCCCCATACTTCCTTCCTGGAGCCAGGGGGCTGGGCAGGCCCTGCCCCAGCAGGCCACTTTTCTGGGACAGGATGGTGCCTGCCCCGCTGCAGCTCGCAGGAACAGCAGATGCTCCAGCACCCATATCACATGGACGCCAGCACCTTCACGGTCCCCAGCCAGCTCCACCCCGTCCCTGCAGGTCACCCACTCACTCGGAGATGTGCAGGAAGATGTCAGGGCCGCCGTCCGCCGGGGTGATGAAGCCGTGGCCCTTGGACCGGCAGAAGCATTTGCAAACTCCTTTGTAGACTGGGCCCTGGGAAGCCCGCACCGTCCTGGGCCGCGGGAGGGGAGAGGTTGGGGAGGCCCTGCCAGCCCTCCAAGATCGCCACCTGTTCTCACAGGGGCTCACCTACCTCTTCCCAGCCTCATACCCCAGGCTGTGCCCTGACTGGTCAGGGCCACTGTGTACAGTCACAGGTCATGCCCTGTACAACCCCAGAAGCCACCCACACAGCCTCCAGTAAGGACACAGTAGACTGCACAGGCGGGCGGGCTCAACGGTCCCTGCGTGTCTGTTACTACCCGCAGCAGACGCCTGCGGTCGCTGGCCCGGGAGCCTGTACCTGCCCGCTGTGGAAGTTCTTGCAGCCCCAGGACCCTAGTCACAATTGAGTCACTGCCCCAGCCCTCCCCTCCTCACCCCCTCACAGCGCATCCCCAGACAGCCCCAGACTCACGCAGAGAAGGTCCTAGTCCGGCGAGTAGGCAACGGGCTGGGAACCACGTTGCCCCGCAGCGGGGACGGTGAGCGCTCACGGGCCCGAGGCGTGTCCAGCAGCCCTGTCTGGTGGGTAGCCTGGTGGGTAGGGGGCTGTGACGACGGCGGCGGGGGAGGCTCCGATGACATGGCTAACCTGCAAGGCAGGGGTGGGAGGCTCTCAGGGCAGGGTCTGAGCCTCAGGGCTCGGCAGCAGCTGTGGGCCTGCCCCTCTCCGTGTCTCCAATGCCCAGCACAGCCCCTGGCACCCCAGGACTCCTGTGTCTGGCCCTCAGCCAGGGGTGGCTGTGCAGCACGCCTGACCCTGTCAGTTCCTGGGACTGTTCATGCCCCGGGCCCCTCATGCAGATCCAGTGCTCACCAGCTGGGTGACCGTCAGCCTGTGTCAGGGAGTGGGGTCAGACCCACTCGGAGAATCCCCAGGGCGGGTTCTCAGCCAGGAGCCAGGGTGGCCAGTGTGCCCAGGAACACTGAAGGGCACAGGTGCAGGTGCTCAAGGTCAAGAGGAAGACAGCCTAGTCCAGGAGGCAGAGAGGCCCCTGTGTGAGTCTTCTCCCTGCTCCGCGCCGTTTTCCCAGGGGTATTAGTGGGCAGCTGGAGGTGGGCCCAAGTCCAGAGCCAGTCAGGTCCACACAGCCAGGAAGGACAGAGCAGCCCCGCTGGGTGGGATGAGGCTCCCTCAGGGTTCCACACTGAAATGAGGAGCTGGCCTCCAGCTGAGGACAGACTCCACACCGACCCTGCACCTCTCCCACCACAGGCACTCACTGGCCCAGGCCCACCCAGGAACCAGGCCTGACTCCTTCCCCTGCCACCCCCAGGCCCTGGGGAGACCCAGGGATGTCCCTGGGTGCGAGTGACGTCGCTACCTCCTGACCCTTGTCTCGGCTGCAGCCCCGGCCAGGGAGGACCACGAGTTCAGGGAGCCCCCACCTCCTGAAGGCCCCGGCGGCTCAGCTGGGGGCCAGGGCTCCAGCACCACGCACCGGCACAGGTCATAGAGTGCTAGAATGTTCTAAGGCCCAGAGTTCTGGGAAGGGCTGGTCCCAGGGAGAGGGTCCCCTGCAGCCAGGCACATGTGACGTCAAGGCCTAACCCTTGCCCACAGTGTGACCGCGAGCAAGCTACTGAAAATGTCTCTGGGCATTGGTTTCTGCACCTGCGGAATGGGACTGAATACAGCCGGGCCCGCACATGCCATCATCACAGACGCTGTTGAGTTGTCACCTGTGACTGCTGCGTGTCCCTCGGGAAACACACATCCAGTGCCAAACACAGAACTCAACTCCGGGGAATAAACAGGTAAAGAAGCATACTGAAAAGCTCATTAGAAGTTTCCCTCCAAAAAGTGTGTGTGAAAGAATGAGAGGATGAGACAGACCTTAGGCCCGGGGACTAGCATGCTGTGCGGGGCACACTGCAGCCCAAGTCAGGGTGTGGCAGAAGGCCCAGGGGCTGGGTCCCTGTCACCCCCGTGGGAGGCGCAGGCCTGGCTCCAGGCTCCTGGCTGTTGCAGCATTTGGAGAATGAACCCACAGATCTCTCCCCCATCGCTACCCACGCCACCACCCCAGCTCAAAATCGCTCTGCGTTAAAAGCAAAGGAGGGCGGGGAAGGTGCTGCTCCACTGCATGCAAAGGTGTAGGCCGGGCCCCGGGCAAGGAGGATGCACGGGGAAAAAGCAAGGAGGCAGTTCCACATTCAGGGCACGTCCTGGGCAAAGGCCCTGGCCTGGCGAGGGCACAGGTGTGACGGAAGCCGGCAGGGCAGCCAGTGGAGGGGAAGGCAGGGCCAGCGCTGCAATACCCTGCACCAGGGTCATCTCCACCCCACATCCTCTTCCTCCTCCTCGGTGCTCCTCAGGCGAGCGACACCCATGTGTGTCTTTGTGTGCCCGCCCCCACCATGCCCTCCTTCCCTAGCTCCAAGGAGACACCCAGAAATGGCCAAGGTGGGGGGCGCACAGGCTGAGGGCATCACAGGCCCAGCCTGCAGACAGCCCAAAGCACGCACCAATAGGGCGTTCTTTGTTGACAGGTTATTTATTTTAAAGGTAGAGTGTCCGAGAAAGGAGGGCAGAGACAGGACAAAGAATCTCTTCTATTTCTGTTCACTTTCCAGATGCCCACCACGGCCTGGTTGGGCCAGGGCCAAGGCCTGGGGGTAGGAACTCCAGCAGGGTCTGCTGCACAGGTGACAGGGGTCCCAGCACCCGCTACCACCTGCCACCTCGCAGGAATAAAGATGGGCTGGAGGCACATCAGCTGGGACCTGCAGGGGCTCTGGTACCCCAGCACAGCCTCCTGGGCCACAACACTCACTCCCAGCACCTCTCCGCACGCCCTGGCTGGGGAGCCCGGCAGCAGGGGGCGGAGACCCAGCAACCACTACCCAGCTGGCCTGTCAGACCAGGGACAGCCAGAGCAAGCTGGCCAAGAGCCAGCCCACCCTCCACAGGCCTGGCAGGAAGGGGGGAGGGGAGCAATGAAAGGTCTCTGTGTGGGGGAGGGCTGGGTCAGAGTCCAGCTGCGGAGAAAACAGCTGTGGGGTGTGGCCAGTCACCCAGAAGACAGCTCTAGGGCCCATGGCTGGAGTCCCCTCCACGTGCACGTGGCAGGCCAGGGCACCAGCTATGCACGCATGGCCTTGCAGTGTCCCCGTGCAGAGGGCTGGGGGAGGGAGTGGGATGCAGACAGGCCTGCAGCAGAGGCTCCAGGCAGAGCCACGCAGGACAGCCTGTGGCCTATAGCAACACCCAGGCACGACAGTGCACATGGCTGTGTCGGAACCTGCACACATGGGCTTGATGCTGGGTATGCCCACGGCAGTGGGGAGAGGGCACCCAGGGTCCTGCAGGTGCCACCTCTGCACCTTCAACCTGAGTTACAAATCCACCCCACCTGCTATGAAGCAAGGTAGCCCTCTCTGAGACAATGCACAAAACAGCAGGGCCCTAGGGTGCGGCTCACTGCACCCCATTTCACTGAGAGGACAACAGAAAACACAGGGTCAGGGAGCCGGCCAGGATGAGGCAGAGTGGCAGCCAGTGCAAGCACCTGTGGGGGCAGGCTATGCCACAGGGACGCCAGTTCGTGTCCCAGCTGCTCCACTTCCCATCCAGCTCCCTGCTTGTGGCCTGGGAAAGCAGCAGACCATAGCCCACAGCCCTGGAACCCTGCACCCATGCAGGAGACCTGGAAGAAACTCCTGGCTTCGATCAGCTCAGTTCTGGCTGTCACTTGGGATGGATGATTTTTTTCTCTGTATCTCCTTCCCTCTACAAAACCTAACTTTCCAATAAAAAAATATCTTTTTTTAAAAAAGAGGGAGGTAAGCCGTGGAGGAAGGAGTTTTAAAAAGATGGTCCTGGTCTGAATGGCCACCAAGTTCCACAAGTTCCAGTAAGTGCAGGCCAAGGCCACTTCCACCCTGACAGGCCCCCAGGGAGGGGCTGAGAGCTGGGGACAGTACGGCCCCTGGGCCCAAAATAGCCTGGGAATTTTCCATGGGCCCCGGGGCTCCTCCTGCAAGTGTGCAGTCTGGCCAGGCCCCTCCTGGGTCCACCCTCATCCCTGGAGACCTGCCCCACGCCTCGTAGCCTGAAAGCCTACCAATCAACCTGGATTGAGTCTCTGGCCAGGATGGTAAGTGCTCACTCCCGGGAGGGGAGCCAGAGCCATCAGCCATTCACACCTCGGCAGGAGAGAGTTCATTTAAGAGGCGCCAAGCCTGGTTCCAGTCTGAGGCTTCAGCAATGAAAGCTGGTGCTGGAAGAGGGCCCGCCCTGAGCCCACCCTGGGCTTCCGGCTGGAGCCGCAATGGACGCTGTGTAACCCGAGTGAGGTGAGGGGACTGCGGTCACACTAGGCTGCCAAGGGACCTGCACAGAGGGGAACGGGGGCGGGGTCCCACATCCCCCAGAGCCACTGCCCTCTGCACGGATGTCCCCAGGTGAGTGCAGCCCCGCCTCCCCGACGCAGGAATCTCCAGGGACCCTGTGCAGGTACAGGGCTGCATTTCTGCGTAGCCCTGGGGGGTCAGAGATGCCCATCTCCCAGCCCCGGGAGGGCCCCGCTGCAGGAAGCTGGAAGGGCAGTTGTTATGGGGCCAGTTTAGGAGGTCTAGAGGGGGTCAAGGTACCCTCATGTGCTGGGTTCCTGTGTGAACTGAGGCAGAGCTGCAGCCTCACGTCCTCCCAGCCAGGCAGGACCAAGAGCAAAGGGCCCAGGTGGTGGTGGTGGCAGGGGAGGGCACCCTGAGCCAGGAGCCCCTCCGCCTGACCCCAACTGAGGCGATGCACTGGCCACCCTCCCCTCTGTTGACTAGGGGAGAGGAGGTGAGATGGGGACCCCCACCAGTCACCAGCACCAAAAGGAACTCAGACAACCCAGGGGCTGCAGCCCACTAGCCAGGGAGAGGCCTGAACCCTAAGGCTGGGGACACAGGGAACCCTGGGGGCTGCTCCACCAACACCGCCTCCTGCCATGCTCCAGCCCCGCCCACCGCCCCCTGCACCTGCCCCAGCTAGGTGGGGGCGCGCAGCCAGGGCGGGCCCTGTACCTTGCACCCCCCCCCCGCCCACACACAGCCTCCCTCCGGGGCCTCAAGGCTTCAGGCCTGACTGTACCTCGCTCCCTCGGTGACCCCTGGCAGCCACCCCGTCCCCTGCCTCAGTGTCCTCCTCAGTCCAACAGCACCCGCGTCAGCACACGGCCGGCTCAGGCCAACAATAGCTGTGAGGCACAGAGCGATCCGAAATAATCCCCTCCTCCCGCTGAGGGGACACAAACCGGCATTCCCACTTGGCCACTCGGCAGAACAAAGGCGAACCCTCCCCCTCCCCGGAGCTCGCCCCTCCTCTCCCTCCCCAGGCCCCTAGGCCCTGCGGTGGACCCCAAGTTTCCCAGCCCGGTTCTCCCACCCCGTCCTCGGCTGGTCAGGGAAGCAGGGGACCCCCAAGGCCAGCGTGGTCACTGCTCCCACTAGTGCCCCAGGGAAAGGCGAACCTCCCCGGCAGCTGGAAGTGTCCGCGCGAGGCGGTGGCAGAAAGCCGTGGGGGGAAGCGTGGGGCGCGGAGGACAGTCGGGGTGGCGGCCAACAGAGAAGGGCGAGACCCGGCGCGGGACAGGCGCAGGCGGCATCCGAAGCCAAACGGCTCGGCGCTCCCCGGGGCCGGTGGCTCCTCCTCCTCACACACCCGGCCAGCAGGTCCGAGCGGGGTCCCCAGCGGGCCGCACCCCGCCGGCCACAACGGAGGCGCCGGCCACCCCGGCGCTCCGCGGGGCCCCAAGCGCGGCGCACCCGACAACCAGGCAGCGTTTCCGGCCCGCGGGGAGGGCAGCCCACGCGCCGGGCGCGGAAGTTTTCCTCCTCGGCGGCCGCTGGGGCTACGCCTTCCCCGGACGCGGCCAATCGCGCGGCCCCCGGACGGCTCCCCGACGCCCCGCAGGCCGGGCCGGGCCCATCCAGGACCGGGGGCGGCGGCAGCCCCCGCCCCTCACGCCGCCGCGTCCACGCCCCCGGCCACGGGCCACGCACAAAAGCCGCGGGGCCCGGCGCGACGTCCGTCTCGGAGCGGCCAGCACCTCCACCCCTCGCCGTCCACCGGCTGCGCTCCCCGGGCGGGCGCGGCAGCAGGTGCGTCCCGGAGGGCGGCCCCCCGCCACTTGCGGCTCCCGGGCCGGGGCTCTCCCCGACCCCGAGGGGCTCCCCAGCTCCCCGCGCACCTGGGCACCCGTTCGGCTCCGCCGGCGGCTGCGCTCCGACTGCGAGAGGCGAGCGGCGGCCGGGGGCGGGCCCGGGGCGGGGCGGCGGCTGCCCGCCCACCCGGCGCGCCCCGCCAATGGCCCCGGCGGGCGGGAGGCGGGAGTCGGGGCGCCGGGCGGCGGGCTAGGGCGGGGGTGCGCGGCGCGACCTCCCGGAAACCTGAGGCCTGGGGTCTTGGCGTCCAGGCAGGGCCCTCCCCGCCCCGCCCGCCACCTGCGGCGGCTCGGGAATCCGGATAAGGCCGGGGCGGCTCCAGGCTGGCAGAAAGACACAGATAAAGGCCAGACCGCAGGGAAAGGAACGAAAAAGTTGAGAGAGAGAGAGAGAGAGAGAGAAGGAAAGAAAAGAAAGGGGGAAGATTTCTTTGTTTTTGTTTTAATTTTTATTGGCACTGCTTGCACGAGTCCCTTCTCTGGGGAGGTGAATGGGATCAACTCTGGCTTTACAGGAGAGGAAACTGAGGCGCATTGGTGACTGTTCGTGGTCACAGCCACGGGCCTGCGCCCAGGGTGGGGGAGCGCACGGCTGCCCCCTCCTCATCCCAAACCAAGAGCTGCAGCTGCGATGTGCGAATGTGCCCAGGTCAGGTGCCTTCCTAGCTGCTGGTGCCAGTGTGCCCCAAAACACCGAGCAGTTAAGCCTGCAGTTGCACGGGGCCTGCAGTTCCAGCCCAGGAGAACCGGAGGTGCGGAAGGCTCCTGGGCGCAGGTGGTGGTGAAGCCCTCGGGGAGGGAATCAGAGACCGGGAGGGGAGGGGCAGGTGGCACGGCGGACAGGAGGCTGACGGGTCCAGGTTCTTTCTGCTTCTAAAGTGGATTGTGATGACACTGTGGGTATGGCAGATGGCGGGTGTATGCTTCCGGGCACAGACACACTGAGTGGGGACAGGTCAATGGGGGCGCTGGGTACCATGGCTGGCATGCCCCTCAGGGTGCACAGAGACCTGCTTTGGGTGAGAGGCCCATTCAGTACTTCCTGCTTTGTAACCCCAGCTGCTCGTGCAGTGTGGCTTGCCTGGTCTGGAGACAGCAGCTGATGGCTGGACTCGCTGAGTCCCTGGCCAGCTTGTGGGAGAGCAGGAGTGAGTGCTGGGTGCCCAGCTTCAGGCTGGCGCATCCCCAGGACATCCTGGCTCTGATACTTGCCTCTGATGCTGTCATCCCATATGGAAACCCAGGGTTAAGGTTAGGCTGCTCTATTTCCCATCCATTTTCCTGCTAATGGCCTGGCCAGTCAGCAGGGGACAGCCCGAGCCCCTGGGCCCTGCTCCCACGTGGGAGACCCAGAAAAAGCTCCCAGCTTCAGATTGGTTCAGCTTCGGCCATGGTGGCCATTTGGGGAGTGAACCAAGCGTTAGAAGAACTCTCTTCTCTAACTCTGCCCTTCAAAAAAAATAATTTTTTTTTCTTAAGATATTTGGAGTTGAGCCTGGCACGATAGTGTAGTGGTTAAAATCCTCCCCTTGAACATGCTGGAATCCCATATGGTTGCCGGTTCTAATCCCAGCAGCCCTACTTCCCATCCAGCTCCCTGCTTGTGGCCTGGGAAAGCAGTCGAGGACTACGCAAAGCCTTGGGACCCTGCACCCGCGTGGGAGGTCTGGAGGAGGTTCCTGGCTCCTGGCTTTGGATCAGCCGTTGTGGCCACTTGGGGAGTGAATCATCAGTTGGAAGATCTTCCTCTCTATCTCTCATCTCTCCTCTCTGGTGCCTTCCTAGCTGCTGGTGCGTCCTGGAGGGCACACTTTCAAGTTAAAAAATCTTAAAAAAAAAAAAAAAAACAAGAAAGAAAGAAAAAGAAACTGAAGTTTTGATTTCATCAGGACATAGAGGGCCAGCCTCCCCCCCACAACTTTTTTTCTTTATTTTAAAATTTTCTTTTTAATGTTATTTACATAGCTGAAAGGGCTGCATGCCCGTGTGGGCTTGGGTTAGCGTCCCCAGCACTCCTAACCCCCTGTCCCACACCCTGACACCGAAGCCCTTATGTTTTATTAGATTATGTGTTTGCTGGTCCTTCCGACGTATTCTCCAATATGAATCTATTCTCATCCCATTTTACAGGTGGAAAAATGGAGGCCTGGGGACCAGCCCGAGGTGAGTGGCCCTTCTTGCTGCACTGGCTTTTCTGTGTCTCAGTGTAGGTGCTCCTTTCCCGAGTGGGCATGGCAGGGTGGAAGGAAGGGAACAGGGCGTGTGCCAAAGGCTGCCTGGGGAGTAGGGGAGGGTCCACCACCACCCACCCCTGCAGCTCCCGGCGCTGCGTGTCCCAGCAAGCTTGCTCACTCCCTGGCCTGGAAACCCCAGCTGGCTGGCCAAGTGTCAGTTTGGCAGCTGAATTCGGGGAGGATGGGGGAGTGCCAGCTGCCCGGACCCATGGCAGCGCCTGTGCAGCTGCTCCGTGTGCGCCCCCAGGCAGCTGCGCACACAGGGGCCTCAGGTCGTGGTGACTGGTTGCGTTTCAGCTGCTGGATGAATGTGTGCGGTCCAGGTCACGGCCACTCAGTCACGCCTGCAGATGTGGCCGTCTCGGCGGCTTGGGGACATTCCAAGTCCCCGTACTAGACGGTTTTTGTTTTGTCGTGTTTTTTTTTTTAAGATTTTTTTTTTTTTTTTTTTTTTTTTGCAAAGTCAAATATATACAGAGGAGAGACAGGAAGATCTTCCGTCTGCTGATTCACTCCCCAAGTGACAGCAACCCCTGGTACTGCACTTGTATGGGAGCCCAGTGCTTTCAAAGCAAGAACCGTAGCCACTAGGCCACCATGCTGGACCCTTTGTTTTTAAGATAATTTCTTTGAAAGGCACAGTTAGAGATCTTCCGCCCCCTGGCTCACTTTGCAGTTGGCTGCACCGGGTGGAGCCCGGCCAGGCTGAAGCCAGGAGAGCTCCCGGTGGGTGTCAGGGACCCTGATACTTAGGCCATCTTCTGTTGCCTTCCCAGGTCCATTAAGGGGGAGCTGGGTCAGAAGTGGAGTGGTCAGGATCTGAACTATCATTCCTATGGGACACTGGCATTGCAGGCAGTGGCTTAAACCACAGTGCCACCAGGCCAGCCTCCAAGCTGTTTGGCAGTGTACTGTTAATATGGTCATCTCTGGTTCCCCATCTGTGCTGTGCAGTGTGTTACAAGTTACCCCTCCTGGGACCAGCATGGTGACACACTGTGCTAAGCCTCTACCTGCTGTGCTTACATCCCATTGGGGCGCTGGTTCCATTCCATCTCCCTGCTAATGTGCCTGGGGAAGTAGCAGAAGACGTTCTTGTGCTTGGACCCCTACACGCACATGGTAAATCCAGAAGCAGCTTCTGGTGCCACCCTGCCCAGCTCGAACCGTGGCAGCCGTCTGGGGAGTGAGCCAGTGTGAAGCGCTCTCTCCCTGTTCACCCTCCCTTTCTCAGTAACTCTTTCAACTAAAAATACATCTTAAAAAAAAAGGAGGGCCCAGTGCCGGTAGCCTGGTGGCTAAAGTCCTTGCCTTGCATGTTCCGGAATCCAATATGGGTGCTAGTTCTGGACTTGGAGGTCCCACTTCCCATCCAGCTCCCTACTTGGGGCTTGGAAGGGCAGTCGGGGACAACCCAAAGCTTTGGAACCCTGTACCCAAGTGGGAGACCCAGAAGAGGCTCCTGGCTCTTGGCTTCGGATTGGCTCAGCTCTGGCTGTTGCAACCACTTAGGGAGTGAATTATTGGATGGAGGATATTCCTCTCTGCCTCTCCTCTTCTCTGTATATCTGACTTGGCAATAAAAATAAATAAATCTAAAAAAAAAAAAAAAGAGGGACATTGCTGTGTCCCAGGTGTCCCCATGTGCCCCCAGCCGTCCTCCCTCCAGCCTGGCCATCCTGTCTGAATGTCGCAGCCAGCCTTGCTGCCTGGAGCAGGTGCAGAACCAGCAGCTTCCCACAGGCCTCCTACCCCATGCTATGCCCAGCTCCCCCACTCCTGTCCCACACAGCCAGCAGCCTACACTGGACCCACCCCAGGTAGTGTGGTTCAATGCGCATCCACCCACGAGGCGTGCCGTCTGAGGCACTTCAGCACGGGCCACCGCAGACCCACTAAGAGGTAACCATCACTGCCCCACCCTGAATGCTGGGGGCGCTCGGCCACGCCCCCTCCCCGCCCTCTGCGCCCTCCCCATCCTCAGAGGAGCCCAGCTAGGCCTCTTGTGGCTCTGATTGGTCCCACATCCTAGTTTTCTGTAAATGGACTCGCTCCGCCTGCCTCTGTGCTGTGACTCATCCGCATTGTAGCGTCTGCCCATCACTCCTGCCTTTGCACTCTTGCTTTGCAATACCCCCAGTCTGTTCCAGTGTTTACTCTTTAAAAATTATTAGCTGCTTGATTTCTGCTATTGTTTGAAAGGCAGAGGGAGAGAGCTGCTCGCTCCTGGTCCAGCTGCCTGCAGCAGCAGCGAGCGGCGGGTACCCACGTCAGGAGCCAGGCATCCTGCCCGGGCTGCCAGGTGGGCGAGGCAGGCCTGCGGCCCGGGGCCCTGGACGGTGTCCTGTGTTGTGGCTTCTCTGACATTTAGCTGATTGCAAGTTAGCGGTTGTCGCAACAGCAGCAGCTCTGGCCCACCTGGTCCGACCTCTGTGGACACGTTCAGTTCTTGGGGAACTCGCTCCGTCCCAGGGTGACGCTGTGGGAAGCGTCTCTGGGGACCCGCTTCATTGTTGCTTTGTGTTGCAATGAGTGGCACTGATTTTTTTGCAGTCCGTGTGTATATATTCAGTTGTGGATTTTATTTGGGTATGTGTGCATGTGTGAGAATGTAGGCTTCATGGGGTGTGTGTCCATACGCGGCTGTGGATCTCACTGTGCAGCATGTAGGAGAGGGGTGTGAATTTTCCCGGACGTCATTACAGGAGCTGTGTGCGCGTCTGGATTTCAGTCCGAGTTGTGCATGTGTGTGTTTGTATCTATGGGGCAGTGGATTCTATGAAATTCATTACAGTGTGCGTGTGAGAGAGAATTTCATTCCTGGGAGTGTGTGTGTGTGTGTGTGTGAAATTGTTCATATCTGTGGATTACATTTTAGGATGCATGTGTTACAGGTCTCAAGAATTTTTATAAACTTTTTATTTAAAGATTTTTTATTAAGGGCCTGGTACAGTAGCCTAGTGGCTAAAGTCCTTACCTTACATGCAGTAGGAACCATATGGGTGCCAGTTCTAATCCCAGCAGCCCCACTTCCCATCCAGCTCCCTGCTTGTGTCCTGGGGGAGCAGTCAAGGACGGCCCAAAGCCTTGGGATCCTGCACTCACGCAGGAGACTGGGAAGAAGCTCCTGGCTCCTGGCTTTGGACTGGCACAGCTCCAGCCATTGCGGCCACGTGGGGAATGAATCATTGGACAGAAGATCTTCCTCCCTCTCTCTGTATATCTGACTTTCCAATTAAAAAATCTTCTAAAAATGGTTTTTGTTGAAAAGGCAGATTTGCAAAGAGAGACAAGAATGCTTTTCTGTCCTGATCCACTCCCCGCGTGACGGCGCTGGCCGGAGCTGACCACGTTAGCCACGGGCCAGGGCTCTCCCGGGCTCACGCGCGGGTTAACGGCTCCCGGGTTAGGACCGCCGTCCTCTGCTCCCCCAGGCCTCGGGCGGACAGCTGGATGGGAAGAGCGGCCAGGAACAAGCTGGTGCCCACATGGGCTGCAGGTGTCTGCCCGTGGGGCTCCGTGGATCTCATTTCCTGGCGTGTGAGCGAGGGGGTGCTTTCTATGGGTTTTATTTTGGCGTGTGGGACAGTGTGGATTTCTCTGGACTTAATTCCAGAGTGTGTGTGTGTGTGTGTGTGTGTGTGTGTGTGTGTTTCTGAGGATTTCATTGTGCATGTATGTCTGGATTTCTGTTGCTTTCATTTTGGCTCTGGCTATCTGAGTTTCTGTGGGTTTTATTTTCATGTGTGGCGGTGTGAGGCGATGAGGCTCGTGGCTTTCAGGGAGCGTGCGTGTGTGGTTGTTCGTTCCTGTGGGTTTCATTCCGCAGTCTGCCTGTGGATGTTTTGCTGCTGATTTCTTTCCATCTTTTAGATTTTTTTTATTGGAAAGTCAGATTTACAGTGAGGAGATATAAAGAACTTGCATTTGCTAGTTCATTCTCAAGTGTCTGTAAGGGCCGGTGCTGTGCCGATCAGAAGCCAGGAGCCAGGAGCTTCCTCTGGGTCTCCAAGCAGGCACAGGGTCCCAAGGCTTTGGGACGTCCTCAACTGCTTTCCCAGGTACAGGCAGGGAGCTGGGTGGGAAGCGGGGCCGCTGGGACACGGACCCATATGGAATCCTGGAACACAGAAAAGTTGTACATTTTCTTGAATTCCCGTTTAGGATGTCCATGTGAGTGTGTGTCAAGTTTGGGACTTCATCCTTCTGTGTGTGTGTGAGAGAGAGAGAGAGGTTGTAGATTTCTGGGGATTTGATGGCAGTGTGTGTGTCACTGGATTTCAGTGCATTTAATTTTGGTGTTTGTAACGTGGATTTCTGGGTTTTATTCTGTGTGTGTCGTATATATTTCTTTCTGGGTTGTTGGGGGCAAAGGCAGTGGTCCCTGGGAAAGGCGGCTTTCTGCCATGGTCCTAGGCTTGAGGCCAGGAAAAGCCCAGAATCCAGCCCGGGATGGGGTGGTGTCTGCCTTGTGCTGCCCCCTGGTGGTGGAGCTGAGCACTCTCCCGCCAGGGCGCTGGAGGATGTCCGCTTTCCAGGCTCCTGCTTCCATGTTCTGGCTTGCTCGGAGCAGCCACCTGCATTTGGGGAGTTTTGTGGAGCAGATCCCACTGTCCCACTCTGCTGCAGTGCTGAGCCCCCCGCCTCCAGGGAGCCTTCCGTAGCCACAGTCCTGGATGGCCAAGTCACGGAAGGGTCTGCTCCAGCTTCACTCTCCCGAGGAGGAAGGGGCTGGGAGAAGGGTGCTCATGGCAGCCCCCACGGGACCACTCCTACAAACCAGCGTCCTGGGGGACAGCAGACAGGAAGTTGCACCCCGATGTGACCGAGCAGGTTGCTGGACCGGGAACCCCATGCAGATGGGGGGTGGGGGAGAGACCCGCTCTGACACGGCCTGCCACCTTCCCACAGCACAGCAACACAGCTGCTCGTTCCTGTCCCCTCTTATGAATTCACAAAAGTCTGTGCAGCCAGGAGGGCGGCACGCAAGGCACCCTCACAAGGGGCACCCTCACCCAAGGTGGCTGTTTGTTCCGTTACTGATTCATTCATTCATTGGAAGGCACAGTGACATAGACAGAGAACGAGAGTTCCCGTACACTGGGTCACTCCCCAGATGGCTGCAGCAGCCAGGCCTGGGCCAGGTGAAGGCAGGAAGGAGCCTGGAGCTCCATCCGAGTCTCCCCCATGGGTGCAGGGCCCAAGACCTGGGCCATCTGCTGCTTTCCCAGGCCACGAGCAGGGAGCTGGAGGGGAAACAGCGTACAGCTAAGGGACGCTGGCTGCACGGAGCCACCTTCACCTGCTGGGCCACAATGCAGGCCCCCAGATTTGGCTGTGGATTCTGCAAAGTGTGCTTGTGGCATCCTTGCAGGCTGTGCAGATCTGCCAGCACTGTGACGTGCTGTGAGGTGGCTGACATTTGACTTCCAGGTTTAAGAAGCAATATTTGCTTTTTATGTTTTTAAACATTGATTTATTTTTATTGGAAAGTTAGATATACAGATAGGAGACAGAGAGAAAGATCTTCCATCCACTGGTTAACTCCCCAAGCACCAGCAACAGTTGGAGTTAAGCCAATCCGAACCCAGGAGCACGGAGCTTCTTCCAAGACTCCAATGGGGGGCAGGGTCCCAAGGCTTTGGGCTGTCCTTGACTGCTTTCCCAGGCCACAGGCAGGGAGCTGGATGGGAAGTGCAGTTGCCAAGGTTAAAAAGAACGCCCAGATGGGATCCCAGCCCGTTCAAGGCAAGGACTTTAGCCAATAAGGATACTGTGCCAGGCCCTAGAATTTGCTTTTTTAGGCGCCTCCTGGTGCTAGGACAAGGAACACAGATGCGCAGGAAACATGGGGAGTCAGGTTCGGGGGCAGCCCCACCGCCGCCTCTCCATCTCACCTGATCATCTCCCAGCCATCTGTTTTCTGTCTTGCAGCTTGCGGACACCTCGCTTTGCTCTAGCTTTTCCTGAGGGCTCTTCAGAAGGTTCGTGGGAAGACGCAATCAAAGGGTGTTTCTCTTGGTGCAGGAGGCGGCGTTTAGCCAAGCAGCTGACACCTGTCCCGTACGGGGAGGCCTGGTTCCTGCCCCAGCACAGCGCCAATGGCAGCTTCCTCGAGGTGCAGTCCTGGGCTCCTGGCAAGGCCGCCCTGGCTCCCTGTGCCTTGGACCGGCTCTCCCATGACAGAAGACACCGATCCACTTTTCTCTTTTCCATCCTTTACGGAAATGATATCCTCCCACAAGCATCAAGACAAGCTTCCAGAATCCTGCCCTCACCCCACCCTGCTGCAGGGACAATCGTTTCTGGCCACTGAGATGGACCAGGTCCCCAAATGAGGCTCTGCTGGATTGAGGAAGGGACAAGGCAGCCCAGGGGACACTCTCGGGGTCCCAAGCGAGGGCCTGGCAGGTGCACCATCTCCACGCTCTGTGCCCAGGCCAGGCCAGCTCCTTGACGGTCTCCTCACCCTGAAAAACAGCGCATGGCTGGGCTGGCAGCCACCCAGGCTCCAGCCAGGGCTCCAGGCTTGCACTGTTGGCTCCATACTCAGTGGTGCGCTAGTCTCTCCCAGGCTTGTGGTCCTGGCACCTGCAACCAGCGGCAACTCCTGGCCCCGCCCTACCCCGCCCACTCAGGGCTTTGTTCTGTAAGTGGGGGAATGGGGAGAGGCCTGGGTGGGCTTGGCCTGGCAGTGGGAGTCTTCTGACTCAGAGCAGAGGTGCTGCTCCCTTCTCCCTCTCCCCTGCAGAGCCTTGGTACCCTAAGGAGCTGCTTCCTTGCCTCCCCTGGGAATGCCAGAAGATTCCTCTGAGCAGTCCCAGCCTGCTCCAGGAAGTGAGTGCTCCTCCCCCACCACATGCCAGGTGCCCCTGAAACGTGGCCCTGGCTCCTGGAAATGCCCCGCTTGAGCCCCAAGGGCCCCCGGTGGATGGGTTGGGGTGCAGCAGGGGCTGAGGAAGCCTTACAGCACCTTTTTGAGGCCTGCCTTGGGACTCTCAATTCCTGCACTGACTCCACACCCTCACACCTTAATGCCTCTGGCATCTGCCCCTAGGTCCCCAGGCAGGAGCCATGTGTCTTTCCTGACTTAGCCAGGGTGTCAGGGCTGGTCAAACAGCGCAGGCAGAGGCCTGGTGGGCTTTGTAGGGACTATGCTAAGACCCAGAGATGCTGTCAACTTGCCAAGGTCGCTGGGTGCACCTTGCCCAAGGGGTGCTAACCCAGGGAGGCCTTGAGCAAGGCAGGGGCCCAGGTTTGACCTCCTGCCCCCCAGCACGGTGTACCAACATGCCACATGTCACGACATCCATGCCGATGCGGACCTTGTGTCCTTACTGCGGAAACTACGTCATGACCAGGACCACCCCTGTGCCCGGCATCCTCTCCTGGGTGCTGTGCCTGGGCCTCTGCGTGGTTGGGTGAGTGGCCCTGAATGTGGTGGGGCCCTGCAGGCTGCGGCCCCGGGCAAGGTGCTGAGGCTGGCCTCGCAGTGAAGGGCGAAGGCAGAAGGGGCAGCCCGTGCTCACAGGACACTGTGCCCGGGGCGGCAGGTGCTTCCTCGGCTGCTGCCTGATCCCTTTCTGTGTGAGAAGCCTCATGGACGTGAAGCACACGTGTCCCGTGTGCAGACAGACGCTCTTCCACCACCGCCGCCTGTGACCGCCAGAATAAATGTGTGCTTCATCCCAGCAGTGGCTGTTGTGTAGCAAAGGACACCTGCGCTGCCTGCTCCCGGGTGCCCTGCGCCAGCTGTACCCCACCCCGGCCTGCCTGGCCTCAGCCTCCACCGCCCTGACCACACAGCAGTCCCCTGCAGCTGTGGAAGCTTGCTGTCTGCCCTCGGCCCCTCCTGCCAGCGCTCCTGGAGGCTGACTGCTTGCCTGGGGCAGTGTGTGGCTTTTCTCCCTGGGCCACTCCAGGTCCCTGCCCTCTGCTGCAGGCCCCAGAGCCACTGCCCTCCTGAGGACCAGAGGCTGGGGCAGTGCCACCCCTTTGTTCCTCACCGGCATCAGTCAAGTGGGAGAACCCATCAGTCCCAGACCTGGCTCTCTGTGGGCAGTGCTGCCAAGGCCATCTGAAGCTGCCCGTGTCCTTCCCCCCCCCCCCCCAAGCAGCAGGGACGGGAACTGCCCCACTCACCGCCTCCAGGGACGCCCCGCACTGGGCAGCCTTGTCACTTGCTCAGGCTTATTCAGTCCGGGCTAAGACTCTGCATAATGGCCTGCAAGTAGAAGGGGTGAGGAGAGGAGGAGAAGATGGAAGAAAACCCAGTGTCATCACCAGGGGATTCTTTTTGTTTAAAGATTTATTTTATCAGAAAGCCAGCTATACGGAGAGGAGTATCTTCTGTCCGTTGATTCACTCCCACATCCACAGCTGTGCTGATCTGAAGCGAGGAGGATCCTCCCGGGCTCCTACACAGTGCAGTGGCCCAAGGCTTGGTCGCCCTGCAGCCCCTTCGGGGCTGGGCTTCCACTAGCCTCGCTGGGCTCCAGGTCCCCGAGGAGAAGCCGGCCTGCCTGCACCACGTGCTTGTGGCCCCCAAGCCAGGCCACGTGGCTCACAGGATGGCTTCCTGGCCCGGGCTAGCGGGGTCTGCCTGGCTGCAAAGGCGCCTCAGCACACAGCCTCCCACCCACTCCCAGCCCGGAGTCCTTGGCTGGCCACAGTCACTGGTGGCAGCGCAGTGTCCTCCTGGCCCCATGAACCCCCTCCGAGAAGCAGGGGAGGACATGGGGGCTCTCCTCCCCCACCCTCGAGGTGGGCTTTGGGGGACTCAGCCGCTATTTGTTCCTGCTCAAAGGATGTCATTCCATAGCACACATTCATTCATGTGAAAAATGGAGGCAAAGAGAGCTAAGGCTGCCTGGAGATGCCCTACACTCTCACACCTGCCTGTGCCCACGTGTGCCCACCCTGCTCCTCACCTGCACCTGCCTGCCTGTTCATACACCGCTCGTCGTCCCCCGCCTCCAGGGAGCCTTCCGTAGCCACAGTCCTGGATGGCCAAGTCACGGAAGGGTCTGCTCCAGCTTCACTCTCCCGAGGAGGAAGGGGCTGGGAGAAGGGTGCTCATGGCAGCCCCCACGGGACCACTCCTACAAACCAGCGTCCTGGGGGACAGCAGACAGGAAGTTGCACCCCGATGTGACCGAGCAGGTTGCTGGACCGGGAACCCCATGCAGATGGGGGGTGGGGGAGAGACCCGCTCTGACACGGCCTGCCACCTTCCCACAGCAGAGCAACACAGCCGCTCATTCCTGTCCCCTCTTATGAATTCACAAAAGTCTGTGCAGCCAGGAGGGCGGCACGCAAGGCACCCTCACCAAGGGCACCCTCACCCAAGGGCACCCTCACAAGGGGCACCCACACCCAAGGGCACCCACTCCAAAGGGCACCCTCACCCATGGGCACCCACTGCAAAGGGCACCCACACCCATGGGCACCCTCACCCAAGGGCACCCACTCCAAAGGGCACCCTGACCCAAAGTGGCTGGTGGCTTCGAGGCCCATGTTCTTGCAGATTCTGGTTTCAGGCATTGGACAATCACAAGAATCCCTTCCTGATTTTTTTTTTTTTTTAAAGATTTATTTTTATTATTTTTTCATTGGAAAGGCAGATATACAGAGAGGAGAGACAGAGAGGAAGATCTTCCATCCGATGATTCACTCCCCAAGTGAGCGCAACGGGCCGATACTATGCCGATCCGAAGCCAGGAGCCTCTTCCGGGTCTCCCACGCGGGTGCAGGTTCCCAAAGCTTTTTGGGCCGTCCTCGACTGCTTTCCCAGGCCACAAGCAGGGAGCTGGAAGGGAAGCGGGGCTGCCGGGATTAGAACCGGCGCCCATATGGGATCCCGGGCGTGCAAGGCGAGGACTTAACCACTTGCGCCACCGCGCCGGGCCCTCCCTTCCTGATTTAAAAATTTTTTTGAAAGGCAGGGTTGGGCTCAGTGCCATAGCTTAGTGGCTAATGTGCTCGCCTCGTATGTGCCGAGAACCCACATAAGCACTGGAGTGTAGCCCAGCCGCTCCACCTGCCTTCCAGCAGCTCCAATCTTGTGGCCTGGGAAGGCAGAAGACGACGGCCCAAAGCCTTGGGAAACTGCATCCATGTGGGAGACCCGGAGGATTCTCCTGGCTTCAGATCATCTTACCTCCTGTTGCGGCCACTGGGGAGTGATCCAGCAGATGGAAGGTCTCCCTTTGTCTGTCTATGTGAAAATCCTACTTTTCCATTAAAAAAAAATGCACAAACAACAAAACAAAAAACCCAGGGTTACATAGAGATCTTTCACCTGCGGGTTCCTTCCCCACTTGCTGCAACAGACAGGGTGACCCAGGCTAAAACCAGGAACCAGGAATTCCATCCAGTCTCACATATGGGTGCAAGTGCCTGAACAACTGTGCCACCCTGCATCCACTGTATGGGATTCTGGTGTTAACGGTGGTGGCTTAACCCACCATGCCATATGCCAGCTACCATTAAGCCTTTATTGAATACCCACTACAGGCTGGGCACTAGGGCCCATCTGTGAGCACAACGGAGGTCCCTGTCCTCACTCTATGCTGTGACTGGGTTGGCATAACGCCCTCTCAGGCCTCCTGACGACTGCCAGGCCCACCTGGAGTGATGCAGGGTAGGGGGCTTGGGGAATTGGGCCAGCAGCAGCAGCAAGGGAGATACTGATGCTACCCTCTAGTGGCTGCCACTGGAGCAGCATCCACGGCCTACCTTGGGACCCTCTCCAGTGTGGCCTAGGCCCCCAACCCTCAAGTGCCCAGCATAGTGGGTGATCCAAGCTTGGTCCTCAAGAGACGTGAGCTCACATGCACACAGGGACCTCAGCCCAGAGGCATCACCTCCCGGGGTGTGGGGCCACTAAGGAGGGAGGAGTGGAGCAAGTGGATCCTTTCTTCACGGCTTGGTGGGAGCCCCTCTCCATCGGCAGAGCCAGCACCTCAAGGCCTGAGGCCTGCCTGCCCGACCTCCCTACCAGGTCCTACACAAGGAAAAGTCTGGCCAAGGCTGTCCCAGGAGCAGAGTGACATCAAGAGACAGAGAACGAGAGCTCCCGTACACTGGGTCACTCCCCAGATGGCTGCAGCAGCCAGGCCTGGGCCAGGTGAAGGCAGGAAGGAGCCTGGAGCTCCATCCGGGTCTCCCCCATGGGTGCAGGGCCCAAGACCTGGGCCATCTGCTGCTTTCCCAGGCCACGAGCATGGAGCTGGAGGGGAAACAGCGTACAGCTAAGGGACGCTGGCTGCACGGAGCCACCTTCACCTGCTGGGCCACAATGCAGGCCCCCAGATTTGGCTGTGAATTCTGCAAAGTGTGCTTGTGGCATCCTTGTAGGCTGTGCAGATCTGCCAGCACTTTGACGTGCTGTGAGGTGGCTAACATTTGTCTTCCAGGTTTAAGAAGCAATATTTGCTTTTTTAGGCGCCTCCTGGTGCTAGGACAAGGAACACAGATGCGCAGGAAACATGGGGAGTCAGGTTCGGGGGCAGCCCCACCGCTGCCTCTCCATCTCACCTGATCATCTCCCAGCCATCTGTTTTCTGTCTTGCAGCTTGCGGACACCTCGCTTTGCTCTAGCTTTTCCTGAGGGCTCTTCAGAAGGTTCGTGGGAAGACGCAATCAAAGGGTGTTTCTCTTGGTGCAGGAGGCGGCGTTTAGCCAAGCAGCTGACACCTGTCCCGTACGGGGAGGCCTGGTTCCTGCCCCAGCACAGCGCCAATGGCAGCTTCCTCGAGGTGCAGTCCTGGGCTCCTGGCAAGGGCGCCCTGGCTCCCTGTGCCTTGGACCGGCTCTCCCATGACAGAAGACGCCGATCCACTTTTCTCTTTTCCATCCTTTACGGAAATGATATCCTCCCACAAGCGTCAAGACAAGCTTCCAGAATCCTGCCCTCACCCCACCCTGCTGCAGGGACAATCGTTTCTGGCCACCGAGATGGACCAGGTCCCCAAATGAGGCTCTGCTGGACTGAGGAAGGGACAAGGCAGCCCAGGGGACACTCTCGGGGTCCCAAGCGAGGGCCTGGCAGGTGCACCATCTCCACGCTCTGTGCCCAGGCCAGGCCAGCTCCTTGACGGTCTCCTCACCCTGAAAAACAGCGCATGGCTGGGCTGGCAGCCACCCGGGCTCCAGCCAGGGCTCCAGGCTTGCACTGTTGGCTCCATACTCAGTGGTGCGCTAGTCCAGGCTTGTGGTCCTGGCACCTGCAACCAGGGGCAACTCCTGGCCCCGCCCTACCCCGCCCACTCAGGGCTTTGTTCTGTAAGTGGGGGAATGGGGAGAGGCCTGGGTGGGCTTGGCCTGGCAGTGGGAGCCCTCTGACTCAGAGCAGAGGTGCTGCCCCCTTCTCCCTCTCCCCTGCAGAGCCTTGGTACCCTAAGGAGCTGCTTCCTTGCCTCCCCTGGGAATGCCAGAAGATTCCTCTGAGCAGACCCAGCCTGCTCCAGGAAGTGAGTGCTCCTCCCCCACCACATGCCAGGTGCCCCTGAAACGTGGCCCTGGCTCCTGGAAATGCCCCGCTTGAGCCCCAAGGGCCCCCGGTGGATGGGTTGGGGTGCAGCAGGGGCTGAGGAGGCCTTACAGCACCTTTTTGAGGCCTGCCTTGGGACTCTCAATTCCTGCACTGACTCCACACCCTCACACCTTAATGCCTCTGGCATCTGCCCCTAGGTCCCCAGGCAGGAGCCATGTGTCTTTCCTGACTTAGCCAGGGTGTCAGGGCTGGTCAAACAGCGCAGGCAGAGGCCTGGTGGGCTTGTAGGGACTATGCTAAGACCCAGAGATGCTGTCAACTTGCCAAGGTCGCTGGGTGCACCTTGCCCAAGGGGTGCTAACCCAGGGAGGCCTTGAGCAAGGCAGGGGCCCAGGTTTGACCTCCTGCCACCCCCAGCGCGAGATGCCTACATGCCACATGTCACGACATCCATGCCGATGCGGACCTTGTGTCCTTACTGCGGAAACTACGTCATGACCAGGACCACCCCCGTGCCCGGCATCCTCTCCTGGGTGCTGTGCATAGGCCTCTGCGTGTTTGGGTGAGTGGCCCTGAATGTGGTGGGGCCCTGCAGGCTGCGGCCCCGGGCAAGGTGCTGAGGCTGGCCTCGCAGTGAAGGGCGAAGGCAGAAGGGGCAGCCCGTGCTCACAGGACACTGTGCCCGGGGCGGCAGGTGCTTCCTCGGCTGCTGCCTGATCCCTTTCTGTGTGAGAAGCCTCATGGACGTGAAGCACACGTGTCCCGTGTGCAGACAGACGCTCTTCCACCACCGCCGCCTGTGACCGCCAGAATAAATGTGTGCTTCATCCCAGCAGTGGCTGTTGTGTAGCAAAGGACACCTGCGCTGCCTGCTCCCGGGTGCCCTGCGCCAGCTGTACCCCACCCTGGCCTGCCTGGCCTCAGCCTCCACCGCCCTGACCACACGGCAGTCCCCTGCAGCTGTGGAAGCTTGCTGTCTGCCCTCGGCCCCTCCTGCCAGCGCTCCTGGAGGCTGACTGCTTGCCGGGGGCAGTGTGTGGCTTTTCTCCCTGGGCCACTCCAGGTCCCTGCCCTCTGCTGCAGGCCCCAGAGCCACTGCCCTCCTGAGGACCAGAGGCTGGGGCAGTACCACCCCTTTGTTCCTCACCGGCATCAGTCAAGTGGGAGAACCCATCAGTCCCAGACCTGGCTCTCTGTGGGCAGTGCTGCCAAGGCCATCTGAAGCTGCCCGTGTCCCTCCCCCTCCCCCCCAAGCAGCAGGGATGGGAACTGCCCCACTCACCGCCTCCAGGGACGCCCCGCACTGGGCAGCCTTGTCACTTGCTCAGGCTTATTCAGTCCGGGCTAAGACTCTGCATAATGGCCTGCAAGTAGAAGGGGTGAGGAGAGGAGACTCTGCATAATGGCCTGCAAGTAGAAGGGGTGAGGAGAGGAGAAGATGGAAGAAAACCCACTCTCATCACCAGGGGTTTATGAAGATGTAATTTCCTGCCCCTCCTCTTCCCATCAGTGTAGGGGTTGCCTAGCGTTTCAGTTAGGCAGGGCCTGGGCTCCTCCTAGCGCCGCTGGGCTCCGGGTCCCTAGAAGCCTGCCTGCACCACGTGCTGGTGGCCCCCAAGCCATGCTAGGCAGGGAAGGATCCAGGTAGAGGCAGTACCTGCCATGATGGGAATGCAGCCTCAGCTTCCATTTTGTTGGGCTCCTGTGCTCCAGCGACATCCCGAGGTCTTCACCTGCTCACTATAGGAGTAGCAGGTCTCGCTGGGTCACAGTGACAGTGATGGGGTTGCATGGGCAGCTGGCTCCACCTACCCTGATTCCACTACCTGCAAGCTGTTGCCACTGCTCCGGAATGCACACCATGGGGCAACAGAGCTGCAACACAAACAGGCACTCCACTGCACCATATGGGCTGGACGCCTGCCTCAGGGCACCCTTGGGGCCTAGCCCGAATCCTCACCATGTATTGCTGTGATCCCATATGATCATTGGTTCCTATCCTGGCTGCTCCAGCTCCCTGCTGGGAAAGCAGTGGAGGATGGCCCAAAGCCTTGTGACCCTGTACCTGCATGGGTGACTCAGAGAAGCTCCTGGCTTTGTGTCCTTAGCTCTTGCCCTTGCGGCCAGTGCAGTCACTTGGTGGAGTGAAGCAGCAAATGAAAGGCCTATCTCCCTTTTGCTCTTTAAATCAACCTTTCAAATAAAAATAATTCTTTCAAAAAGAAAGGAAAAAGGCATCCATCCTTCTCAGTAGGCCAGTAGCCCAGCAATTCAGAAAACGCAGGGTGGGGTTATACTTGCTGCACACTCGGTTGTGGTGTCCAGTATGGCTGCCCCCGACACGTGGCAGCAAGTCCTGGGCACATGGCCCAAGCCAGAGTCCAGCGGTGCGCAGCTGAGAGCACAATATGTGCACTGTAGGTTGTAGGCTTGCCCTGTGTGGAGTTCTGACCTTCTCGCTTTGAGGCCTGGGCACCTCAAGCTGCAGAAGGGAAACTAATGGAGGCCTATTCCTGCCAAGTCTCTTCCTTCTTTGTCCTTCTCAGTCTGCGGCTGCTGGGGGCCAGGTCCTGTCGCGAGCAGCCCCTTCTCAGGTATCCTGTGACTGCTATCTTGGTAAGCTGCTCACAGGCATTGTCCTGCAAAACAGTGGCCTGCCCTTCCAGAGCAACAGTCCAAGCCCCACGCTGTCCGGCTGCAGCTCCTTGCTAGCACTCCTTAGGAAAGCAGATATGGCCCGAGTGCTTGGACCCCTGCCGCCCATGCGGGAGACCCAACTGTGGTCCTCGGTTCCAGCACTGCACATTTGGGGGCACCCAGCTGTGAATGAATCGTTCACTGGCTCACTCCACCTCTCTAATACATTTAACATAGGAGACGGAGGGGTGGAACTGCGGTGAATCAGGCTAGGCTGTCACCTGCAGGGCCAGTATCTGATGGTTGGTCCTGGCTATCCCACTGAAATGCAGCTCCCACCCAGTGTGTCTGTGGAAGCATTACAAGATGGCCCAAGTCTTGGACCCCTCCCTGTGTGGGAGATCAGCTGCAATTCCAGGCTCATGGCTTCAAACCGGCCCAGGTCTGGCTTGTTGTGGCTAACTGGGAGAGTAGACCAGCAGATGGAATCCGTCTACTGCCTTTCCCATAGAGCAGTGCAGTGTTGGTAAGGGGAGCCTGGAGGACAAGCAAGGACACTGGTAGAACAGTACAGGAGCCAACCCAGAGGAGCAACATGCAGACTGGCACTGTGGTGCACTGCATTAAGCCACTGCCTGCTTTGGCCCCCACACCTGGGCCACCATCTGTTGCATCCTGCATGTTAGCAAGGAGATGCATCAGGAGAACAGTGGGGACTTGAAATGCTGCTTTTAAATGGGATGCCAGCGTTCCACCCTGTGAGGCCCACCTGTTCAGTCTGCCTTCTAACACTCCCATATGGGTGTTTCAGGGGCTGGTGTCATGGCGGAGCAGGTTAAACTGTTCCCTGCCAGTATCCCATCCCATACGGGTGCTGGTTCAGGATCTCACTGTTTCACCTTGATCCAGCTCCTTGCCAGTACAGCCCTGACCACTGTGGCCATCTGGCCACTGCAGAGGATGAAGATCTAACCTAGCCCCTTCTCTGTACACCTGTGCAATAAAGAAACAGAAAAAAGGGGGAGGGGGCAGCATGATAGTATAGTTGTTGCACACTATGCTCGCCTTGAACGCGCCAGGATCCCATATGGGCGCTGGTTCTAATCCCGGCAGCCCCGCTTCCCATCCAGCTCCTTGCCTGTGGCCTGGGAAAGCAGTCGAGGATGGCCCAATGCCTTGGGACCCTGCACCCTCATGTGAGAAAAAGCTCCTCGCTCTTGGCTTCGGACTGGCTCAGCTCCGTTGCGGCTGCTTGGGGAGTGAACCATCGGAAGGAACATCTTCCTCTGTCTCTTCTCTCTGATCTGCCTTTACAATAAAAATAATCTTCACACACACACACACACCCCTCTGCATTCCAAGGTGAAAGGTAATGGAGGTGCCCTTGGAGTTCAAGCAAGGAGAGGGTCCAGGACAGGCTGCTGTACACCGAGGGCATCAGTCATCGCGAATGGGGCTTAGGGTTAGGATAAGCAAAGAGCAGTTCCCTCCTGCCACCAGCCAGAGAACAGAGGCCCAGGTCCACAAGGACATGACTCATCATCACAGACTCCTGACCCCGTGTCCTTGGGAGTAAATGCCAAAGTGCTCATGGCGGCAACACAAGTTAGGGAAAACGTCCTGTTGCAGGGAGCTGACTGTAACCCGGCCAAGTTCAACCTCAGAACAGGAGGTCCTCAAGACCAAGGGGGTTCCTTGCCCACAGGAAGAGGGGGTCCAGACAGCCTGAGCCTGGGCTGAAGCCCAAGGGGCACACTGCAGCACGTCGCTCCCAGAACCAAGGGTAACCTTGGGGCTGTGGCAACCAAGCAACTTCTGGAACTCCACCCCAGAGCATTCTAAGACCACATGTGCCGTGAGCATGTGGACCCCTTGCTCCTGGAAAATACGGGGCGTCTTAGGATTAAGTCTGGAGGCATAAAAACCAGAAATGTGAAAAGCCCCCAGCTGGAGGGAAGCCCTGTTCTTGCAGGCCACGTCAGGGGCACAGAGGGCTCTGTGGGCTTCCAACCAGGGAGACCCAAAGTCCTCCTCACCCCCATGGCACTCAGGAATTATATTTTTATAGAAAATTTTATTCAACATACAACATTTTCCAGCAAAAAGGCAATATACAGGAAGAGTTGGTGTACACTGCTGCTACAGGAACAAACCAAAGGTACTGGGAAGGATGAAATGCAGGTGATTGCTCATCTACTGTACTGCACTCGAAACTAGACACGCGGCATTAGCTCCGGAACAAAAGCAAACAAGGCGGGGACTGAAATGAACCCACAAAGGGCAGACGTCAGGGACGCCCACCCGCAGACTCTCCGACCAAGAGGAACTGCCGCCCAGTGGCCAATTGTACACATTCATCTGTTAAATATACAATTTCATTTCTCCTCAGCATTTGTACAAAGTCAACAGCATACGGACCACGCAGGGCACACCCTCTGCTCCAAGGCGCTCCTCTGCTGGCTCTGTCCTGCTCTCCTGAAATCCCACCGGCCACCCTCCCTCCTGTTTCCTGGCGGCCGCAGGGAGGACTCGGCAGTCTCTGCAGCGTAACGCGAACACCCAGGGCCAGGGCCCAGCGGGCCGCAGGAAGTGGCGGCTGGTGGGCGACAGCTGCGGGACAGATCCTGAGGAAGGGCCAAAAATGCACACAGTGGAGGACACAGCGCTATTTATTAGGTTGTGAGTTCTCCGCTTGCCTTTACAGATGCACAAAGGTCACTGAAGGTGTAACTGAAGGAAGCCAGACAAGCCGAGACGAGCCCTTCTAGCCACCGCAGCGCTGCAGCCAGGACGGGCGGCCAGGCAGCGCCTGCCAGCTAGAAGACGGCTTAGACCTTTTGCCAGGAACACACGTTCGGCTAACCTTGCCCCATTATGCTGACAGGTGCCTTGCATTGTGGTTACCATAAAATAACTCTCATTGGCATCCAAGCTTTATAAAAACACCTTCATTTTGCTCAAAAAGGGCAGTCAATAGATACATAGAAGCCAAATTGAACAGCCTCAACAAAATAAAATTAACATCAGCAGCAAATCCTCTTGCTGAAGACGGACTAGAGTACGCGTGTACCAGAGTTCCGCAGCTGTTAAAAAGGGGCAGGCAGCACGCACCACCCCCGCCTTACACACTGGGTGGAGTCAGTTATGGATCTTAATGGCCTTCTCCAGGTACGTGTAGCGACTCCGCTTTGGGGC